GGGCGCTGGCGTTGGCAATTTAGTGGTTGTAAAGCGTCGCTGTACAATACCTAATCGCAGTACTGTACGATAGCGTAGGTACTGTACAAATTACTGCTTAATGCGAATAATGTACCATTTATGCATTACATGATGCCACTTGTCGTGGCCGACGAGAGGGACACAAGGCATTGGTGCATTGGCTCGTGTCGCGACGATGGGAGGACCAACAAACAGGCTGATGATGAAGGACCCATCACCCGATGTCCTGCAAGGCGGCCAACGCCACAAGGCCCTGTGAAGGTACGTAACGAGATGCGGGGCACACTGATGCGGCACCAGCAAACTTGGCTTTGCGATGGCGCCGGCGTTGCAGGTGCTGGAGGGGTCGAGAGCCGCCAGGGCGGGGAAGGCCCCTCGCGAGTGGGAGCTTGAGAGTGCCTTGAGTGCGTGCAGTGCTCACCATTGTGGTACGAGGCCCCAGTCCGCCGTCTTCCCAAGGTCTTCTTAACAGCCAAGCTACGTCAGACGAGGCGACCGCGTACCTCGTCCCTCCCCGCTGGCTGCCGAGTAACCTGCTCCCCCAAGCTCCCTGCTAGCGACGCCTGGTCACCAGACAAGCTCGCCGGCTGCTCCAGTCCGCCAGCTTCCCCAGCTTCACACCACGTTTGACTTGAGTTCCAGGAACTCACCCCGCGCACGTCTGAACCGTCTCGACAATCACGCCGAGCTCCAGCTCGGCCATCGCTCGCTGCAAAACCCCATCCCCGTCGCCCCCAGGCCTCCCGTGCGCCACCCTGTGGGGGATCCGTCAACCCCAGCATGGCCACCACCGAAGAGGTCGTCCAGCGGCTCAAGGAGTCGAGGCCGCCCGCCACCGACCGCTTCACCTACCTGACCATCATCGACAAGTCCCTGTCCCCGGAGGTCCTGCCGGCCCTCCAGGAGATCTTGGAAGATGTCGAGCTGACGAGCGACATTGGATGGGACCTCGTCGAGATGCTCATTGACGTGCCCGGCAGTGAGCCCTGCCTCGAGAGCATCGCCCGCCTCGGCAATCCGCGCGAGGTGATCCTCAAGGTGCTGCAGGTCATGGACATCACCACGGGCAAGGGCGAGAACGGCGCCGAGGGTAACAAGGCCTTTGTCACACTCTGCGGGATGCTCGGCATACTGCACAAGCGACTGCAGGTCAAGGCGCCCTCGCGCTTCCTTCACACGACTCTCGATACGGTTCACAGATCCTACGACCCAACCAGCGCCGAGGCGACGGCCGCCGTCATCGCTCTCGTCCGGTCCATGTCGGGGCAGAAGCGCCCGCCGCTGCCCACGCGCCAGTCGAGCACCACCCTCGACAACCCCTTCCAGGAGAGCGACCCCGCAAAGAGCGCGCCCGACCCAGAGGCGGACAAGACGGATCAGCTCAACGCAAACGAGCCCGAAGTCATGGAGCTGCTGCTGCAGTCCTTCATCACCAACATCATCGAAGCCTACGTCAACACCAACAGCCTCGAGTGGGCATCCAGACTGTTCGAGTACACGTACCCAGAAAGAATAGTGCCTGGAAAGAAGACCATGACGCAAGCCTTCAACGAGGTGGAGGAGCTCCAAGCACGAGACGCGCTGGTTGGACAGCTCGTGGTCAGTTGATCAACGCTTACACGACATTGTGTTCTGTCGCTGACGATTCTCATAGGCCGTCGCAGGCGACATTGGCCTGTCCAACGTCCCCCTCTCGAAGCTGAAGTCGTCTCTCGAGGACATTTGCACGGACCCCCTGGCCTTGGACTTTGACCCTGCGAGACCAGACGAGATTTTGATGTCCACGGGCGGGCTGATATGTCTCGTGGCTTACAAAATATTCGCCGCCGATGTTTTCGACGCGAACCAGCCGCTGCCCGACATGCACATGTTCCCTGACCATCATCAGATGCTGAAGCTCTTCCTGGGAGAGAGCGAAGATCCGCAGGCGCAGGTAGCCAGCAACCCCGGCACGGTAGAGTCGCTTCTGGTCATGGCCATATGGCTGGACGGCTCCCGGCGCATCGCAGCGGCCGAAGGCGCCGAGGCCAACTTTATGGCATACCATCACTTGCTGACGCTCATCTCCGTCTTCCACCCCAACGTGCGGGTTCGCAACGCAGCGACGGTCGTTTCTGGCGCGGTACTGCATGCCGATCCGGACGAGGAGGACAGACTCGCCATCCTGGAGGACCTGCTCGAGAACTGCATGTTCTCGTCGCTCCAGGCTTGCGCAGTGACGTGGCTGAAGGAAGAAATCATTGCCGCCAAGAAGGCGGGTTCAAAGAACCGGTTCAGTAGCGCAGATTGTTTGGACTCGCTGCAGTACACGCTGTTCCCTAGCCTGACTCATCTGAAGGAAGCGGACACGGACACGCTGCTCGAATTTTGGACGCAGAGCGCGCCGCTGCTCCTGCAGGTTGCCAACTTTGCGCTGTTCTTATACGGCGGCAGCGAGTACAAAGACCTGGCGCCTGCCGGAATGGCGGCGGCGATTGAGCACAGATACGTCGAGCCGCTACTTCACGTGGCCAAGACGCTCACAGCAGAGGTGGACAAGAAGGGCGTCGAGGCGCAGGACGCGGAGCCTGAGACTCTGCTGCAACTGGGCATCTTGGCGGATACGCTCGGCCGAGTGCCGTTGCAGTGAGGCGCCCCGGTGGAGGTTGGGGGGCGACGGGCCCGGCTGGCTCGGGACCGGCGCCCGCGCGGACTCTGCGGATGGCTGGGTCAGCACCCGCGCGAAGGCACTCACTACCTTGGCTTTCTTTAGGTGCGGTGGTCTGGGAAGCTGGAGTGTGGGACATGGGACATGTACAACTGATCAAGGCGACTGGGTGGCAACAGGGACTGGCGGATGCTTGGGTGGGTGGCCGTTGGAGGATTCGCTCACTGCTGGCGTGTTGCGCCTCGGCGTCTGTCTTTGCTAGGTAACCAGCCTACCGTAGGTAGTGAATTGCTGCTATTGTTCGTGCCGACAGGTCCGACGGATGCCATGGGAGACGCTTGCGCTGCGTCTCTGCTACGGCGCCGCCTGCTTGGTGCCAGTCTACGGATGTAGTATCACTACATTTCAGGTGGCAAGCCGGTCATATAGTAGCACCTTACGAACAACTCGAGCCGCTGACGAACGACTTGGGCGGATCCCGCCCTCCCCCGTCCTGCTTACGATAGCCATGACAATCGATGGTGGTTGCGTAAAGTGGCGCGTAGGCTTTGCTGCTCCGGAGGCGAGCGCGAGCCAAACCACCCGGGCACCAACAGCAACTGCCGGGGCCGGGATCGACGGGGGGGGTCATCAGCAGCGGGCGGCAGCACATGCAAGGCATTGGAGTGACGCACGCACGCTGCTGGGCTGGCCGCTGCAGAACCGTGGCGGGCGGGCAGGGAGGGCTCCAGGTTCTGGGCCGCCCTGGCGTGGCCGCCGAGGCAACCTAAAATTTTCGTCTTGCAGCGACCTATCCGACAGGGCCATGGGGGACGAGGCCAAGACAGGGGCCGGAGATGCTGGGGCGGCAAGGGTGGCTGCCCTACGGGGCTCGGAGTGGGACGAAGATGCCGCCCGGAGGTTCGTGCCTTCCAGGTGGGAGCGAGCTCCGGCATGCGGATGGGCGGGTGGCGTGCTGGGCTGCCCGCAGATGCCGACTGCCGCGGCTGGGTCAGCCCGCCATTGGAAGAACCTCCAGGGCTGGAGCCGGCTGGCCCCCAGTGGATCGCCCCCAGGGCGAACGTTGGAGCCGCGAAGTGTTTCCTCCGCCTACAGCGATTTACAGCGGGCACGGCGGCGAGGTGGTGGTGGTGGTGGTGGGTGATGTCACCAAAATGGCGTTCCGCCTCAATTTCTAGACTGTCTGCTTTGGGCATGGCAGAAGGATTCGGATAGTAACGCATGCATGCGACCCTGCGTCGACCTTTTTGCACTCGGCCGACCGATTCTCTTCTTGCCCTTTCGTCTCTTCCCTCTCTTTGCAACACGGCATTGTCTTTCCATCGCGCCCAATTGACTTCTACTTCTTTCATCCCGTCTGGAAACTCGCCACCACCTAAACGAACGGGCTCGGCAGTTGCGTTGCGTGCGTCTGTCGTCGACCGCGTCGTCGCATCTCATTTCGGCTGCGTCGTCCGTCCCGCCCCCCGTCCGTCCACCATGGCGCACCAGCACGACAACGGCCCGAGCGACGACGAGATCGCCCCTGACGATGTGTCGTCGCCGAATCCCGTGGCGCCAGCCGTCGGTCATGACCACCAGGATAGACTGCCCACGATCATCGCGACCGGCGAGAGCAACGCAGTGGACTCGACCGCCGGCGACGCGACGACGACGACTGAACGGCCGGCTGCACGACCGCGCATCCCGTCGCTCCTCAGCCCGCCGCGGCAGGCTGCCGCCAAGCACAGGAAGAAGTCGGAGCCCTTCCTCCCTGCGAGGGCGCGTGACAGCTTCCGCGGCTCGGTCGTCTTGACGAGGTGGCACACGGCGCAGGGCCCCAAGGACGATGGTGGGGTTCCCGAAAACGACGTGCCCTTGCTGCTGGATATGGAGGAGCCTTCGGACGATACCCCGTCTTCGGAGGACGAGAGCGAGAAAAAGGACGATGTGGAGGACGCAGACGCCGCTGCGGCGGGCACCGACTCGAAGAGGTCGTCGCAGGACGAGTCGCGCTTCTTTCGCTGGTTCCGGCTCTGCAACGAACACTGCAACACAAAGGGCAAAGTTAAGAAGGACGGCCGCTTGCGCATCACCGTCCAGGAGACGGCCAACACGGGATATCTCGCCAAGGCCCTCGGCACGGCCACCCAGAGGATCGCGCCGCCGGGGAAGCGCGAGCCGCGGCGCATACCCACGCCCGACTCCATCGCGCCGCAACCACGCCTCAACATCGTCATCATGGTCATCGGCTCGCGGGGCGACATCCAGCCGTTCCTCAAGATCGGCAAGGTGCTCAAGGAGCAGTACGGCCACCGCATCCGCGTCGCCACGCACCCGGCGTTTCGGGACCTCGTGGAGAGGGAGACGGGTCTCGAGTTCTTTTCCGTTGGCGGCGACCCCTCGGAGCTCATGGCCTTCATGGTCAAGAACCCGGGCATGATCCCCTCGCTGCAGACGGTCAGGGCCGGCGAGATTGGCAAGCGCCGCGACGCCATGGCCACCATGTTTGAGGGGTTCTGGAGGTCCTGCATCCACGCCACCGACGATGAAAAGGACAAGGCCAACCTCAAGTTGATCGGCGACAAGGACCCCTTTGTGGCCGACTGCATCATCGCCAACCCGCCCAGCTTCGCGCACATGCACTGCGCCGAAGCTCTGGGCGTGCCGCTGCACCTCGTCTTCACCTTCCCATACACGCCAACTCAGGCCTTCCCGCATCCTCTCGCCAGCATCAAAAAGTCCAACGTCGACCCCGGGTACACAAACTTCATCTCGTACCCCCTCGTCGACATGATGGTCTGGCAGGGACTTGGCGACCTCGTCAACAACTTCCGTGTCAACACGCTCTCCCTGGATCCGGTGTCGACGCTGTGGGCTCCAGGCGCGACATACCGCCTGCACGTGCCGTTCACATACCTCTGGTCTCCCGGGCTGGTGCCGAAGCCCGCGGACTGGGGTGACGAAATCGACGTGACCGGCTTCGTCTTCCTCGACTTGGCGGGGGCGTTCAAACCTGACCCAGCGCTCGTCAAGTTCCTGGAAGCAGGGGAGAAGCCGATATACATTGGATTTGGCTCCATTGTGGTTGACGACGCGGAGCGATTCACCGACATGATTTTCGACGCCATCAAAAAGGCCGGCGTACGGGCGCTAGTATCCCGTGGCTGGGGCGGGTTCGGTCGAGACGACGTGCCGGACAACATCTTTATGCTTGGCAATGTGCCTCACGACTGGCTATTCCCTCAGGTCCAGGCGTGCGTTATCCATGGTGGCGCCGGTACCACAGCGATTGCCCTCAAGTGCGGGCTGCCGACCATGATTGTGCCGTTCTTCGGCGACCAGCACTTCTGGGGCAACATGGTCGGCAGCTCAGGGGCCGGACCGGCGCCGGTGCCGTACAGAGAGCTCACCTCGGACAAGCTTGCCGACGGAATGAAGCACCTTCTGACGGACGAGGCCAAGGAAGCAGCGGGCCGGATCGCCGACGACATTGAGAAGGACGGAGACGGCGCCGAAAAAGCGGTCCAGTCGTTCCAAAAGCATCTCCGTCAGTACGGGCCGACGTCGCTGCGCTGCTCGCTTCTTAAGAACCAGGTGGGCGTGTGGCATGTCAAGGGCACAAACGTCAGGCTCGGTCCGCTGGCGGCCGATATTCTCGTCGATAGGGGAGAGTTGAGCTGGAAGAAGCTGCGGCTGCTCCGGCACATGGAGTGGAACGATTTCGTGGGGCCGGGAGAGCCGTTTACGGGCCTCGCCGGGTCGTTGACGGAGACGGTCAGAGATACTCTGATCGGCATCGGCGGCGCGCCGTACCGCCTCGGCAAGACGGCCACGAAACGAATCAAGAGCAAGATGAGCAAGAGTAAGAAGAAGCGCGAAGGAGAGGGCGGTGCGGCGGCGACAGGAGATGCAAATGGTCATGGTGCTGGCCAGGGAGAGAAACATGCCACGAGACCCAAGGCCCCACGGAAGGAGTCGGTCGTCGCACCGGGTCCGGAAGAGTACGTCACGGACGTCACCCACAGCGTCGGCCTGACGACAAAGGCCATCGCCATGGCGCCTGTGAGCCTCGCCCTCGCCCTCGCGCAGGGCTTCCACAACGCGCCTCGCCTGTACGGCGACGATACCGTCCGGCGACCGACGCGCGTCACAGGCTTCCGCTCCGGCCTCATCGCCTCGCGCCGGGAGTTTGTCTATGGCTTCTACGACGGCATCACGGGCGTCGTGCGGCTGCCCGTGCGCGGGGCCAAGGCCAACGGCTTCGGCGGATTCGTCAAGGGCACGGCCATGGGTTTCGGCGGTCTCATTCTGAAGCCGATATCCGCCGTGGTCGGCCCTGTCGGGTTTACGCTGCAGGGCGTGGCTAAGCAGGCGGACCGGTGGCGGCGGCACCCGCACAAGCTCATCAGGCGGGCGCGCATCCGCCAGGGCCAGCGCGAGATCCAGGCGCTGCGGCCCGACGAGCTGCAGCGCGTGCGCGACCAGGTCATCGAGGGGTGGCACACGATGAAGCTGCTCCAGCGGGAAGTGGTGGAGGCGGAGCGCCGGCGCGGCATCGCGGGCCACATCGATCACATGATGCTCGACACGAGCATGATGTTTGCCGACGCCGACGTCGCCAAGTGGTGCCTCGCGCAGCTGCGCAAGGGCGCCAGCGTCGAGGACGTGCTCGACGCGGCGTTCAAGAACAAGGGCACCGCCCGATCGTGGAGGCCCCTAGGCCGCGTCGCGACGGAGAAGAAGACCGCGGCAGACAAGAAGGACGGCAAGCTGGCCATGGTCAACGGGCAAAGGTCCTCGACCGAGAGGACAACCAACGGCGGCGGCGGCACCACCTCCAAGAACATCAAGGAGCCAACGGGTCTGAACGCACCAGCAGCGCCGCCTGCTGTGCATGTGAAGCAAGATGCGCCTACGAACGGCGGCAAGGAAACGGTTCGCGCACCGACGACGCAGCCCACACTGCAGGAGAAGCATGCCGCGGCAATAGACGCAAACGCCACGAACGGAAAAATGGCGCCCGTGGCAGTCGCATAATCATTTTTCTTTTCGATTTTCTTTTGTCTTTGCCATGGCATGGGCAACCTTTATACCCAGGAAGGGAGGGCGTCATGGACATCTGCAGCGCTGTAGAGGGTCTCTCATTGTCGTTTGTTGTTAGAGTCATGTATGCATTTACGAGGTCATCATCTCTCATAGTTTGTTTAATTAGTCTACAGACCACACTGTCATGGCATCACGGTTCGTTTGTTCGATTCATACATGCTTAAAAATTTTGAATGGCCCTTGTTTGCAGAGGCCTTGCGCTTATCACGTCTATGTTTCCTGGCCCGTACCGTACTATATGTTTGGGGCCGGTTCCTGTATCTCCATGTATCGTCAACGCCGTCGCTCCCTGTCGTGATCCCGATGCCTGTGGTGGTGGTGGTCCCGGTCCCTATGCCGGTCATAGTCCCGATGTCTGTCCCTATCGTCGCGATGCCCCTCGCGCTCGCGCTCGCGCTCCCTCTTGTAGCTGTCCTCGTGATTCCGCCGGCCTTCCTTGCGGCGGCTCTCCTCGCGACGGTACTCGTCCAGCCGGGGCCGCTTCTTCTTCTGCACGCCGCCCTGGTTCCAGCCGCCGAGGTCCTCGTCCTCCTTGAGCTCCTTGGCGCCGAGGCCGAGGCGGTTCGCGCGGCGGCGCACCTCCTTGGGCTTGGGGGCGCGCTCCTCGCCCTTCCATCCCATGCCACGGAGGAGCGCGGCGCCGAACTCTTCCACGGGCATGGCTTCGTAGTCTTCGAGCGTGGATGCGGCGCCGGCGGTCTCGGCGTCGCGGCGGTAGGCGTCGTCCTCGGTCAACGGCGCGGGGTGGATGATGGTCTTTTGCGGCTTGGTGGTGCGGCCGAGCAGAGCGTCCATGGCCTCGTCGTCGAGTGTCCGCTCGGGAACTGGTTCTTTCTGTGCCTGGTCGCCTTGTTGTGATGAAGTTTCCGGTTCGTTCTCGTCTCCTTGCCCGTCATTGTCCGCCTCTTCGCTCGCCTTCCTTTCCTTGACGGTCAAACCCCACTTGATCTCCTTGTCCTGGTCCGCCGGCTCGGTCTCAGCGTGTTGGCTTCCGTTTTGCTGCCGCCTGCTCTCTTCGCCAGGCAGCGGCCGTCTACTACTCCGTTGCGCCTTCATCTCCGCCCTCCAGTCGCGGTTAGGTTGGCGCGCAATGACAAACTCCTTCTTCGCGGCCTCCTTGGCCCTCCGCTCGCGTTCCGTCTCGGCACCGTGCGCGCCGAACCCTGTGATGGCCTCATGGCGTCCGCGGTGGCGGTGCTCGTCGTCGTCGGACTCGGAGTCGGAGGCGCCGCCGAGCGCATGGGCGCGCGGCCGCTTGCCCAGGCTCGATGCCGGCGCGGGTCGCGGGCGCGGGGACGGTCGGGCGGAGGAGGAGGCGGAGGATGTGCCGAACTTGATGGCTATGCGACCCTTTTCTGGTTCACCCATGATGCTGCGCGCGCGTGGGCGAGAGGCGGAGGCGGAGGCGGCTTGTTGTCGTTGCTGGCGATGCGGTCGATGGTCCAAGCAGTAGGAGACGGGCAAGCATCCAAGTCGGAGGCAAAGCATGGACCCACCTCGAAAAACCGCGATAAGCTGATAGCGACCCGCACGACGTCAGCCGCAACAGGCAGGCCCGGCAGGCCAGGCAGGCGTCGCTTCAGCCAGTCTCCAGCGCGAGGACCAACCTGGCAAGCACATGCACGGGCAAGCACAGGCAAGAGAAGCGGCGCCGCCTTGGCTCCAGGCCGCCGCCACAGGGATGCGTTTACGTGCATTTCATGCCTCCTGAATGGATGCGGCTAGCGCGCACTGATTGTCCTCCATGCCTCCCGCTCGTTCGCCCGTTCGCCCAGGACAAGATTTGGCGACGGGGCCGTGGTGTGGCCGGTTTTTTTTTTGGTGTGGTGATGAGTCCATGACAGGGAGACTCGTCGCCTCTCACACCCATTCCGCTGGCTGCCTGCGAACAAGGCCTCCAGAGCAGACGCGCGACAATGCAAACCCTTTTTTCTTTCTTTTGGGCAAGGAAAGCAATCTCTGCGCCATCTGTTCATGCTGACTTCACCCATCGTAACGAGAAAATTTATAATAAATAAAACAAGTCGGCAGCGCAGACAAACCATACAGACATCGCGACTTTGCGCGCGCAGTCAGGGGAACATGGCAGGCTCGTCCCAGGCCTGGCCGCTTGAGATCGTCTCATCTCAGAATTTTCCCCGTCGAGCTTGGGTGCGACGCTGCACATCGCTATTGAAGACGGCGCCGCGGCGTCCCGCGGCCGGCCGCATGCAGGGAAACGTCGAGGATTTCTCACAGTGCTCGCGGCGTGCACGCACGGCTTCTCCCGCTGCCCGTCCGCTCCGCACTAGCACCATGCCTGCACTTCTGCCTGAACGCGCGCACGGGACGCCGCGCGCCGAGTTAGCGCTCGCCCACCGACGGCACAGTGCGTGTGGCTTGGCAAGGGAGCGCGGTTTGCTGAATCGGGCAGAGAGGGTGGCCGGATGGAAAAAGAATCTGTCTCTTATACACATCTAGATGTGTATAAGAGACAGCCCCCCTCCCAGGCCACAGCGCTCAATGGCCGGCGTCCCAGCAGCTCCACGAGCGGCACGAGGCAGGCCCGCGTCTTCCACTGTGGGCATCCCAACACCGCTAGCATACGCCCCCTACAGGCTCTGACGTGCCCCCGAGCCCGAAAAATCAGCGCCCGAGCGGGACAAATTTTGACCACCTCACCACTGCCATCCCCCCTCCCAGCTGGCGACACCCTCAACCCAGCCCGACCCCAGCGACAGACGAGCGACCGTGACGGGCGAAAAATTCGCAATCCGTCAACGCTGCATCAACCACCACCCTTTCCATCGCCGTGCACGCCCTCATTCATCTCCTGCCGCCTCGCTCTGCGTCCTGGTGCATCCGTTTGAGCCTCAAACGGATGTCGCGACCGCCGATGCTATGACTGAGGTCGGCCCTTCCGACCTGTCGAGGCTGCTTCAGACCAAGCGCAATGAGTGCAGGTGAGTCGCCCCTCAAACGAAAGAGCGATTTTTTCCGATTCCAGCGGTACCATTTTTGTGATGCTGACGATGCGCAGTGCAATCGTGACGTCGCGGAAGCGGAAGCTTCGCGAGTTGTTCGCGGTCGCGACACAGGTCGACCCGCTGCCCGATCATGGCCTCGCTAATCCAGACGCGCCGGCGGCCACACCGGCCGAATGGCAGTTCCTGCAAGCCAGCGACATCTTACAGTACGTCTCGCGAATATTCGACACGTTTTGTTTTTCAATTTCGTCGCCTCGCTGTCGCGATACGCCTTGTTTTCGACTTCTGCGCGCCTGTCTCGACCGTAATAGCCATCTCACAGGAACCATATCACTGACTATACTGTTTGCTTTGCAGGGGCAAGACGCTGAACGAAGTCCACATTCCTGCGAGACCCAGGCTGTCGCTCGAGCGGCTCAAACGATCGCTTGTCGAGTTGAAAAAGGCTGCCGCACCTCTCGAAGCAGCTTCAACAGCAGCCACTGGCGTTGCAAATGCGCGACCGACTCAAGCCAAGAAGCAGACGACGTCTGATGGCGCGACCGTGGTACCTAATGGGGATGGTGCTCCTGTAGCAGCTCCGAACGCGACGCCGATAACCTCTGCGAAGCTGGCGCCGACGCCGACACCGCAGTCGCAACAAGATTCGAGTCGAACACTGCCACAGGGTCCGCAGAATGCAAGCGCCGCTCCGAAACAGCAGTCTCAGCGTGGTGATGGATCAGTCCAGGCTGGCCGTGGCATCGCTGGCATGCCCTCGAAGGGGACGCAGCAGGGACAACGGACCGCTCAAGTTGCGTTCCCTCCGGGGACAAAGGGCTCTCCATCAACAGACGCGGGAGCAGCCGCCTCTGTGGCTGTCGGCTCCGACGGAAAGTTGGAGAGCACGCCGGAAGTCAAGGGGGAATCCGATGCGACGAACATTCACCGCGACACCAACGGCGCGCTGTCCATCAAGCTCCCGACGGACGCGGCCAAAATCTCTGAGGCCGTGTCCACCCCAGGCTCGACTGCTGCGAGTGCCACGACTCCTGCGCCTCACGAAAGCTCAACGGACACGAGTCCCGACAATGAGGGGCCAAGGTTATTAGATGCCGCCGGCCGAAAGGAGCAGGACGAAGATGCTATGGCCAAGGCTCCGCCGCCAGTCTCGGACATACAGGACCAGAATCAAACACCCGAGGCTCAACTCCTTCGCGAATCCGTACGGTCGAGTGTTGAGACATCCATCTCGGCACCCAAAACTTCGCCAGCTCCCCCGATCCCTACCGCGCCCAAGCCTACCGACGAGACAGAGACACCGGCCCCGAAGCCCGAGTCGAGGCCCGTATCCGCCACTGATGGATCAGCGCAGCCGCCCGCTGGAGCTACCCGTGTGACGGAGGTTCCCGATAGCGAAGGCGGCAGCCCGGATGAGATGGATATCGATGTGCCCGACGTACCTGCACAGGACAGCAAGATACTGGCTTCACGGGAGCCCAATCTTCCTACACAGGAGGCTCCCGCTGCTCCATCGACGCGGAAGGAATCAATGAAGGAGCAGTCGCAGGATACAGCGCCGGAGCGAGCAGTCACACGGGTATCTTCTGGTGCCATGCGGCTAAAGTCCGTAACCGAGATCGTCGGGGGTGCTGGCCGCCAGGCGCAAGGAAGCGAACGAGACGCCACTGCGAAGACCGCCCACGATCAGCTCACGCCAGTTACTTCAACCCCCCAGTCGCCGGCCTCGAGGATCAGGACCGCCGGTGTATCACGAAAGGACCGAGCAAAGGGCCAGACATCGACGGTATTGTTTGGCAAGCAGCCCAAGCGAGTGGAAGACAGAGCACTTGTCCCGGGCCACAAGGACACTCTGCAGGCTTCCGACGACTATTACACGCCACTTTTTGTCCAGAACTTTTCAGGTTCAGCCAGCTGGATGCAGCCACTTGAGCGGATCCTGTTCCAGGCGAACAAGACGATATCTACCCCTGATGCCCACCTCGTGATTCAGGATCACCAGGCCTGTCGAGTCCTCCGCCGGGTCTATCATCTGCAACAACACGACAAATGGTCGCTACGCCAGCCGAAGCGCTGCCCCGAACCCACCAGACCGGCATCTCAACAGGACGTTTTGCTGCAAGAGATGAAGTGGATGCGAACCGACTTCCGAGAGGAGCGCAAGTGGAAGATGGCCGTCGCTCGAAACCTCGCCCATGCCTGCGCGGAATGGCACGAGGCCACTCCTGAGGTCCGCAAGGCGCTCCAGGTAACAGCTGTCATCCCGCCCAAGGCGCAGTTGGCGGATGGCGACGTCCCAATGGTTGATGCGGAAGGGCCCGTAGACAGCCAGTCCACCCCCGACCTCGTGTCGTCGGGTGATATCGACTCGCCCCAAAACATCGACGAACTCGTTGAGGACTTTGTTGAAACCGTCGCTCCGTCCGCTATATTCGCCCTGCAGGAGGATGATGTGGTGTTTGGGCTCCGAAGAACACCCGCGGCGGACAAGTTACTCGAGGAGTTGCCCATGTACGGCCCGCCTCTGCAAGTGCCAAAGGTCGACATCGCCGGCCCCGAGCACGACCCGGACGCGCACTGGAAACGTCCTGCTCTACCGTTGAGCAAATACGTGGAGGGCGAGATGAAGCTTGCGCAGCCTGGGCCCCCGAACCGGCCTGGTCGTTTTGCTTTCGCAGACGAGGACGCCGACGAGGACGCCGAGGGTGGCTTTGTCGCCGACCAGCACGTGCACACCTTCAAATTGCCGCCCAGCACGGACGAGGTCTCACTATTCCACCCCGAATCCAAGCACATCCGAGATCGCCTCCATGCTGGCCACCAGTTCCGACCACCCTCAGAGCATCTGATGCCGACGCAGAGCTTCTATGAGGCACGCAGCCCGTCGCAGTGGACCCTGGCGGAGGACGACGAGCTTCGTGGGCTTGTGAGGGAGTACTCATACAACTGGTCCTTGATCTCGAGCCTGCTGTCGACGAGGTCACTATTCACGTCCGGTGCCGAACGGCGAACACCATGGGAGTGCTTCGAGCGATGGATCAATCTTGAGGGTCTGCCGGCTGACATGCAGAAGACTCAATATTTCAAAGCATATAACAGCAGGATCGAGGCCGCTCAGCGAGTGATTGCTCAGCAAAACCAGATTGCCGCTCAACAGGCCAGTGCGTCTGGCGGTGCCGTCACCCCGGTGCGACGCAGGCCTTCTGTTCCCATGAGAGTTGAGAGGCGACGCAACCAGAGGCACCTCACCATGATTGACGCCATGAGGAAGCTTGCGAAGAAACGAGAGACAGCGCTGCAGAAGCAGCAGCACTCGGCCTCGCAAAGCACTGCCAACAAGAAGACCAACGACACCATCTCGCAGAGGCCAGCCAAGACTCCTCGAGACTACAGCCTCATGCGGTGGGAGCGAGACCAAGCCCTCGCCGAGAAGATGGCGCAGTACGCCCAGCGACAGGAGCTTCAACGGCGGGCCGCGATGGCAGCTCGGGCGCAGGGCCAAGGTGTCGCTGCTGCCGGAGCTGCCGCAGCCGGCGCCCAGGGTCAAAACGCAAACCACATGGCTGGCAATCCCGCCGTCAACGGCGCCCCTCGTCCCATGTCCAACCAGCTTGCCGCTGCCGCCGCTGCCGTCGCGGCCAGCCAGGGTCGACAGCGCATGCCGATGCAGGCTCCTGCCAACAATGTCGGCGCAATGCAGGCTCAGATGAACGGCGGACTCTCCGCCCCGGCGCAGATGAACGGAACACCCCAGGCGCAGATGCAGGGCATGCAAGGCCAGCACAGGATGCCGATGCCTAACCAGCAGCCGGACGCCAGTCTCATGCTGCGAGCGCAGCGCATCTCGGAGCAGCAGCGTGCTGCTGTCCAGATTCAACAGGCTCAGCATCACCAGCCTCAACAGCAGGCCAACGGCGGAACGCCAGGCCCCACAGGGCAACACCTTTCTCCTCCAATGCGCAACGGTATCAACGGCATGAACCAGCAGAATTTCATGAACAATGCGCAGGCTATGATGGCGTCGTACAACGCTGCCGCGGCCGCAAACGCAGGCGGCCATTCCTCGCCGCCGCCGAATGGTTTGCACATGCCATCTGCTGCCGCTGCGGCTTCGCCCGGCCAGCGCCAGCTCCCTCAGCTCCCCCCAGGCATCGCAGTGCAGCTGCAGCACCTCGAGACAAGTTTCAGGGCCAAGAACCCGAGCTTGACGCCCGAGCAGGCGCGCCAACTCGCCACCGAGCACCTCACACGGGCCATGGTGGCCCAGCGGCAGAACGCCATGAACGCTGCCGCGGGCTCGCCTGGGCAGCCTGGAATTGCCAACAGCATTGCCGCTACCAGCAGCCCGCATCAGTATGCTGCCCTACTTCGCCAGCAGCAACAGCAGCAGGCGCAGCAGCAAGCTCAGCAGCAGCAACAGCTACAGCAGCAACAGCAGCAACAACAGCAGCACGGGCAGCCACAGCACCATCAGCAGCAGCAGCAGCATCCTCAGGCGCACCAGCTTCACCAGCAGCAGGCACATCAGCAAAAGCAGACGCCGCAGCAGCCTCAGCAGCAGCAGCAGCAGCAGCAGCACCAGGCGCAGATGCAACAGCAACAGCTTCAGGCACAGCAGCAGGCGCAGCAAGCGCAGCAACAGCAGGCGCAGCGCAGCAGCCAGGCCCCCTCCGCCAGCGGCACGCCGACGCCTGGGCCTGCATCTGCCAGCCCCGTGCAAGCTCACCAGCGCGCCGCGAGCGGCAGTGCCACGCCATCAGCTGCCGGAAAGTGAGATAGCTGTTGATTTGGCCCGGTGCTCCCCGGGCTATTGCTTCAAAGCTTGCGTCTGAGCGTGTTTTTTCTGCGTTGTTTGGCCCACACCCCTGCGAGTCGAGGGATTTTCCAGCATTGCAATGATGTTTTGACGATGGCGTTGGGGCCCCCCATCCCCTTCCGTGATTCTTACGTGGGAGCATGGATTATCTGCAATGGGCAATGAGGCACTTTTATGGCTACTGCTAGCTGGGAGGCTTGGTTCTGCTTCTGGTTCTGCTCCTTACCTATCCCCGGGGCGCATGATACGGCGATGGATGGGATGGACGACATGGCTTCAACGGGCACGGCCATGTGTGTTCATGCACAATGGCATTGCAAGGAACCACCACCGCCACCACTACTATTACTGCTTGGGGGAAACTGTGGTCGATGTAAATATCTTAATGGTCGAGTATATGTGGGACACCCCTTCGTACTCGACTCTCTGTGCCCAGAGGCAGGCAAGGCACAGGAACATAAAACCCTACTTTTGACACCTGACTTGTACGCACATCCCAAATCGTGGCTCGTGAGTGCACATTTCCTGTATGCATACATGCACACTGCCTCAAGACGGCATCCCTCCACTTTGACCCGTGAGAGTAATGTGTCGAGTGTTAAAAGCTGCTCGCTCGTCTACTTGGGAAAAGCAAAGCATGTAATCATTCAACAAAAACGCCGAGAGATGCGGCGGCCGTATGTAGGCGAGACGCACTTTGCCCCCGCCTCGATGAACGGACTCGCCATCCCACACACATATGCCTTGGTACAACAAAGATCCCGCACCACATATACACATTTTTCGTCTCGTCACTCATGAGCTTGGGCCCCCGCCTCTCCCACCGTCGCCGTGGAGCAGGAGCTTCGGCTTGATAAAGTCCTCGTCCAGTTGCCTGAACAGGCCCGCCGGGTCCTCGGCGCTCCAGAGTTGCCTGATGGCGCCCGTCGCGGTGATTGGTGCGGTAGTCGTCTGCTCGCCGGAAGGGCTCATGAAAGCGCTGTCGGACTGGGGCGTTTGACTGGGGCTCGTTCGCGAGTGAGGCGAGCGCCGGGCCGGCGGCGGGAGGTCTGAAGTGTCAATGTCGCTATCAAAGTCCGAGTCTTCGTTGCCGCGGCCCAGAAGGTCCGCTCGCTCAAATTCGTCTTGGCCCCGGCTGGCCGAGTTCTTACGGTTCAGGCTCTGGGCACGCGCACCGGTGTGTGGCGATGAGTGTCCAGATACGTAAGATGCGGAGCGACCCGGCGGCTCTAGGTTGGTGAGCGCAACATTACCGTTACGCCGAGGGTTATACCCAATGGCAGCGCCTGACCGCTTCGCTTGCAGACCACCACCAAATGACTCGATATCGAACTCGTCGTCGCTGTCGATCTCTTCGACGACACCGGTGCGGATTCCCAGGATCTCGAGCATGCGGGCCGTAGTGCCACCAAAGATGATGACGGTCAGCACGACGACGACCAGGACCGTAGCCCGCAGAGCGTACGAGTTCTCGCCCGTCAGGAGAGCAGCAAGGGCCACGCCGACAGCTCCGCGGAGACCCGCCCAGAAGAGCATTGCTTGGTAGTTGTACGGCAGTTCGTCTTGAACTTCCACACCCCTTCTCCTTGCGCGGTAACGGATGAACCAATTGATTGCCCTCGATAGAGGGAAGACGGCGACCCAACGGGCTGCCACGACGGCGCAAATGGTGACTATGATGAGCGGCGGCTGGAACTGGAGAGCGTTGTCCGTGAACAGGGCAAGGCCCAGATAAATGAAGATGAAGTTTTCCGACAGCTGCGACATGACCTGGAAGATGTACTTTGTCGTAAGCTGCGTGCGCCGCGACATGTTGAAGTAAGCGTAGTGCTTGAGCGTGATGCCGCAGAACAGCAACGACACGATACCTGTCGCTTGTCAGTCTCCGGTGGCGCAGTCCCCAAATAGCAGATTCACATACCCGACATGTGTACGCCATGTGAGAAGAAGTACGTAGCGTATGAAATCAGCACAATCAGGCAGCTTTCAATCTTGGGTAGCCGGCGAAGATAGGTGAACTTTAAGAGCAAGGCCGTCCCAACGCCAACAACGATGCCAATAAGCATGCTGCCAAAGAAGACAAGCAAGAAGATGCCGGTACCCTCGAAGAAGCTGATGAAACCGTAGCTAGCGGCCTTGCCCTTGTTGTACTTTTGAGCCGTCTCGAAGATGACGATGGCAATGGCGTCGTTCAAGATGGACTCGCCGAAGATGATGGTGTAGAGCTTCGGATCCACCTTGTACGTGTTGAAGATGGCAAGGATGGTCACCGGGTCGGTGGCGGAAAGGGTCGCGCCGACGGAGATGGCATCGACAAGCGTCATCTCGAGCGACCCGGGGAGTAGGGTGAAGAGCCAGAGAATGAGGCCGATGACGACGGCGGAGAGAAAGGTTCCGGCAAAAGCAAAGGTGAGGATGGTGCCGATGTTGCGGAAGAAGTTGGCCTGGTGCAGTTCGTAGCCCGAGGAAAGGATGATGGGCGGTAGTAACAGGTTGAAGAAGATCTGATAATCGAAGCTGATGAGGTTCCGGATGGAGTCACCTGACGTGACCAGGAGGATCAGGCCGACAGTCATGCCTAGTTGCGGTCGCAGGTCAGTGCCGGTTCGCCGAGAGAAGTGTAGAAGTATGAAGGACAGTCGCCTACCAGCAAAGATGGAAATGACAGTCTCGTGGACGGCCGTCACCTTCTTCATCTGCAGCATGTAGCTGGTGAAGAAGGCGATGATAAGCAGCATGATGGAGATGAAGAGGGCCCATGCTGCAAAGAGCTCCTTTTGCGCGGAGTCGCCTTCTGTATAGAATCGTCAGCATGCTCCGTCCAGGCCTGCTCGGTATCGTCGAGTCGCGGGCGCAACGCACTTTCGGGGTCCGTCTCCTCCTCGCGTCCTGGAATCGCATGTCAGTGCATCTGCCGCATCTGCTGGCTCAGCCGGTCCGGGCCGGAGGTACGCACGGAGGAGCCTGAAGCCCATGTCGGCGATCTCGGCCGATGACAACATTGTCGGCGGCGGGCAGTGGCCCAGGTCGCGGTCGCGTCGGCGTGTCGATCCGTCGTCGAGGTGGCTCCCTCGAGGGGCGGCGGGCGCGGCGGCGACAGCGGCAGCTTCAGTTGCGGCTGCGACTGCGACGACGGCCGCGGCGGCGGCGGCGGCGACGGTCGAGGTTGGGGCTCGTGCGCGAGCCTCTCAGGGCGGGATCGGCGTCGCAATCATGGGCCGAGGAGGATGCGGCGGCGGGGAATGGACAGGTCGGAGGGGAGGCGCGGATGGTGGTGGAGGAGAAGAAGACGAGAAGACGGCAGACAGCTTTCCAGAGGTTGACGTGGAAGCCAAGCCAGGGTCGCACAGCAACTTGCCTTAGTGAGCGCGACTGCCTTATCTGGCATTAAAGGTCCCTTCTGGCGCCTAAGCCAGGCACCCAGGAAAGCGAGGTCGCCAGTACGCCGCGGCGGGTGTGGGGTTGCCTACGAATACTGGTCACGGATACCCCGTGGCCGGCGCCGGAGAACTCGTACACAGTAAGCGACTTGTCTCTTCTGTGCATACAGTTGACTCTCGGCCTGCATCCGCCACCCTTCTCGATGCCGTCTTTTCTCTGTCACTGTACCTTGGGTATACTAACTCCAAGTGGCAGCTCTGTCTTCTGTAAATTGGCCTCTTCCACGGTATACGTGTCGCTATTGTGTACATCTTCAGTACAACTTCTCCGTTCTAATCCCTCAGCCCTCGACAGAGGTACTTCATACGACGCGAAGTACCAACTCCATCCCGCCCTGCCTGCGTCGGGCGTCACATAAGTCCGGGTCCAAGTAGCAACGCCAACATTCGCCCAAAGCCATTTGACCAAGGCCAACATATGTCCGTTATCTTATTGACAGAGTCCCCAACAGCCAAGTCGAGCAGTTGAAACGACTTGTCAAGACCAAAACTCATGGCCCGACAACCTGTGAATTGTGACAATGAGATGCGGTCAAGCGACGGCCGTGTGCCTCGGCACCAGATCAACTGCCACAGCTCGACCATGCAAGGCCAAGTCAAGATCGAGAGCCATAATATCACATAGTGATAGTTATATATTTTTTAGAGCAGTGCCATTTGTAGAGCCAACTTTTGCTAGTTGTAGAGCCCATAGGAGCAAGAGCAACGAAAGCAACGAAAGCAACAGGCAGTCCCATGCCTGCGCCAGTGCGCAGTAAAAATCACTGGGGCAGCATGGGGGTAGGGCGCGGCCGAGAAGGAAATTGTAGGGGGCGGTTCTACAAGTAGCAAAAGTTGGCTCTACGAATAGCATCCCTCTTTTTTTATTTTATTTCTTATTTTATTTTCCAGGTTTGATTTGGCTGGGCCATCGGTGTCGTCCTGCTGCCAAAGTGAGAAGTCTTGGCGGGCAGACAGCGGTTGCCTCGTATTAAACGACGCCCCTCCCGCCTCAGCACGCCCAGTCAGACGCTCAGCGCATCTTGACCCCCTGTGGCCCATCGCCCGCGAGGCCCCGCCAACACCCGCAGGAGCAATGGAAATCTCCCGTACGAGGTCCAGCGACGGATGGAAGCCACCTGTGGTGAATCCACTCCCGCCCGCCGGCCGTCATCCAACCAACCTGCAACTTCCTTCAACACCCTGAATCCTGCCACGTCGCGACTCTCTCCTACAACTCGGCTCGACACCACCGGACTCGAGGCGCTCGTTGATCGCGAGGTCCCTAACTCCCCCCCAAATGCGGAACGGCGCACGGCTCGTCACTCAGGAGGCGACTGCGCAGGCAAGGCAACAGCTGGAATAATGTACCACCTCGCCAAGGGCTTGTACCTGTACGCGACGAGCAAAGAAGGCATGTCGTATTCCTCAACTCCCTCATCCCCCCGCCGCGCGCCCCTCTGCGAGTGATAGCCCCGGGTGGCTGGCTGGCTGGCTGACCGCCCTTCGCAGAATACTCCGTCATCCTCCTCGGCCTCGACAATGCCGGCAAGACGACCTTCCACGAGCAGGTCAAGTCGCTCTTCCTGCCCCATGCGCCCGAGCCGAAGCTCAAGACGGTCCCGACGGTCGGCCAGAACGTCTCCACCATCACCCTGCCCGACATGTACCTCAAGCTCTGGGACGTGGGCGGCCAGCTCTCCCTGCGCAAGCTGTGGCAGAGCTACTACGCCAGCTGCCATGCCATCGTCTTCATCATCGACAGCACCGACATCGGCGACGGCACCCTCGAGCACGAGAACAGCGGCCGCCTCGAGGAGTGCCGCCTCGTCCTCGAGGATGTGCTGCAGAACTCGGAGACGGAGGGCGTGCCCCTGCTGATCCTTGCCAACAAGCAGGACAGGGAGGACTGCGTCGAGACGATCCGCATCAAGGAAGGGCTCGTCAAGAAGGTCATGGAGGGGGACAAGGCTGGCAGCATCCGCGACTCGAGGGTCTTGGCCATGAGCGCCCTGACAGGTGACGGCGTTAGAGAGGCCGTCGAGTGGGTGCGTTCGAGGGTACAGTGGAACAAAGAATCCCGGCCGCCCGTCATGCGGTAGCTGAAGCGCGGTGCTTCCATTCCGTTGTAGGAGAGCGTTGGGACGATATTAACGAGCTACGACCGTGAAGGGGGGGGGCGACTATTACGGTGCATGTCTAATTTGGCACGGCGTCTTGGATGAACTGATAGATATTGGACTCGTCACATTGCGTGGCTGGCACGAAGCGCCTCTGGCACGGTTCCGTCGGGGCTGCTGCGGCCAGCCAGGATAGCATTTGTTTGGGGGTATCATCATGCCTCATTTTTGTTCTACCGTAATGCGCCATTGTCCATCAGGTCCTAGCCTGCCCGTCCGTCTACCTTTCGTTCTCCGCCCTCAACTCTGCCATGAACCCGCCCTTGTCTCTCCTCTTGGCATCCTCCACCAGCTTGCGGTCCAGCAAGTCCGTAAACTCTTTTGATTTGTTGAGCGCCGTCTGCGCGCACTGCACGAAGACGGGGGCGTCGATGTCGGCGCCCCCCAGCTTGGACACCTGGCAGATCTCGCCGTGCTTGTTGAGGCTGAACGTGCAGCTGCTGACGCGGAGCTGCTCCTCGAGCCACGTCGTGTCGAGCAGGACGGTGTCGCCGCCCTCGCCGAAGAAGCTAAAGGTGACGCAGAAGGGCGAGTGCAGCCAGCTGAGCGGCACCGGCTCGCGCTCCGCCGCCGTGTACACAGTGAGAGCCTCACCCTCGATGCTGGTGTCGGGCTTGCGGAAGTGGCGCAGGGCGGCGACGACGGCGAGGCAGGCCGCGTCGATGAGGTTGCCGTCGTGGGACAGGACGTGCAGGTCGGCGCGGACGGACCAGCACTTTTGGCCGGCGATGAGGCAGAGCGACTCGGTGTCGAGGGCGCCGGAGCGGCGGACCGTCTTCTCGAGGAGGCGCGAGAGGAGCACCTCTGTCTCCGTTGGGCGGTTGACCTCGAATGACGGCGCGACCATGGGGCTGAGCTCCGACGTGATGGTGAAGATGCCGTCGAAGGGGCGGTCGGTATACGGGACCGTCACCTCTGCCGAGACTTTGGCGACGACTCTGCGGAACTGTCAGCAACTCTGCGCCGGCGCCTGACTATTAAGTATGAGTATATGCGCCGCACCTCGTCTTGCCGCACTGGACGTCTGCGACGCCATACTCATCGCCGAAGGATAGTTGCAGCGGCCGGAACTGATCGAACTTGCGGTTGTCGATCCGCAGTCCCTCCTCGAGGGCTTTCAACACAAACGTGCGTTCTGACAGGGAGGGCTCGGCATCTCGAGGCATGATTGATACTGAACAAGCGACCGGTCAGTCGCAATCGACATGAAGCGTTGATGAACTTGGATGTCGATGAGATGAGCTGGTAGAGCAGGTGGGTTGGAAAATTCTGCCGGGCGGTGAGGGTACGATCTGGTCGCTGTGAGTGCTCAACTCATTCTTAACTCCCCACTAACCGCACTGGTAGTTACAGTACTATTTCATCACGAGCGCATCCGCTACTGCACTCTGTTCGAGGAGAGCTACAATCTACTGCCTCAACGCAGTTTACGTATGTACGCTGTGTCAATTACTCAGCTTGTCACATAAATATATATACATCAGAATGGACGGATCTCTGCTCGTGCCCGCGCATACCCCGGCGATCCGCTACTCCACCACCACGGGCTGCCGTCCAGCTGCCTGGCTGTTGACGGCGCCGCATCCGCGATGAGCCGACGACTTGGGTGTCGACTTGGGCGACGGCAGGGGCGAAGGCTTGTCCTACAAGCCCCTAACACCCTCCTGCATGGCCTTGAAGTGGCTCCAATCGTGGCTGTCCTGTGCCAGGCTCCACGCAAAGACGCCCCCGAGGCCCTTGGCCTTGACGATGTCGCTAAACTTCTTGGCGATGAACTCGGGCGTGTCCCAGGTCCAGTACTTGCTGGTGGCCGAGTCCCAGTACCACTGTCCGCCCTTGGCCTCGTCGGCCTTGCCGTTCTGCAGCACTCGGGTGAACTCCTCGTTGAAGTTCTCTCGCTCAAATGTCGTGGCACCCGACAGGCCCGGGTCGCTGCCGTCGGGGTTCTCGAGCGTAACGGTCTGGCAACCCGTGGGCGTGGAGCATTGCCCGCTCGTGGTGAACCACTTGGCATAGAAGGCGAAGCCGAGGTTCATCTTGCTGGGCGTCATGCCCAGCCCGATGTATGTGTCGATGGTAGCCTTGGAGTCCTCGACCGAGGTGTGATGGTTGGTGACGGTGTCACGGCGATTCATGATGTCGTAGGTCATGACCTGTGTTTGTACCGTCAGCAATTCATCGTGTAGACAAGCATCACGGGGCTAGCTGGAGGTGGACGTACATTGATAAAGTCCACAGCCTTGTCAATCTTGGGCACCTCAGCCTCAGTAAAGGCAATCATGTCGACCTTCTTGCCGGGAATGGCAATGGACAGCTCCTTGTCGCCGATGGCGGCCTTGATCTCAGCCAAGAGGAGCGCATATGCCTCGATCTCGCCTGTCTTTTTGTCGTTGGGGGTCTGCCGGTAGTCCTGGCCGTTGCCACCGGGGTACTCCCAATCGACGTCTGCATTCCTGTCAGCGTTCGCTGCCGTATCGGGAGTCTTTCTGTTCTTGTTGCCTACCGACGCAGTCGTAGCCCAGGTTGTTGAGTGCGGTGGCCACGTTCTTAGCATACGTCTTGCGGGTCGCGTCTGTCGCGCAGCCGGTGCTGAAGCCCGATGTGTCGCCCCAGCCGCCGATGGCCATGCAAACCTTGGTTCCCTGGTCGAAGAGAGCGCGGACCTGGTCGAGAGGCATAAAAGGTTGGTACCAGGAGCCCGAGTTGAAGTTGACAGAGCCCGCGAACGCGGTGATGACATAGTTGACGCCGGCAGTTACGTCCTTGCTCGGTAGGGTCGACAGGTGCCACCTAGATGAAAGGGAAGAGAGCTTCAGCACTGTTTTGCCTTGCAGAGCCCTGCACTGAGAATATCACGCCGAGCGCCACTTACTGGTCAAAGTACATGACATATCTCGGCGCCGCCGAGACAGAGGTGGCAGCGGCCACAGCAGCAAGAGTGGACAAACGCATCTTGGTATATACAGCAACAGAAAGTCAAGGGCTTGAGAGGAAAATGAGAGTCGATGCTTGACTTTGACTTCGATAGACCAGATACTGGCGGGGAGACTCTTTCCTTAAGTGTATAAGGGACGAAGCCTCGGGGACTCTCGTGACATGCAACCAGGACGAGCGATCGGCGGAAGAATAACTGTAAATCGCTGGTTACAGTTGCAAGTAGAGGTGACCGTTGGCAGCGGAAAGCAAACAGCCCGTGATTTTTATAGGGCGCCGCCACGGTCAGTGCATCAGTGCAACGTCGCAGCAAACTCGTGGTGGTGACGGGCCGAAGGGGCCAGAGGCGATCAGCCGTAGATGACATGGAAGAGCACAGGCAAGGTTACGCCTGTGTCTGCACACGAGATGGAAAGCACACGGGGTGCCTATCAGCCACGGTAATGAATGGAGGCATTCCATGGTCGTGAATGGACGATCATATCCCCTTTCCGTCCAAAAGGAGCAAAGCCAGCAGCTGAAGCCATCACCGGCGCACCACCACGTTGACAGCGGAGTGACTGATATGGAGTTGGAGGGTATCATGGCTTGTCATGTGCCTGGACTGGGGTGCATGCATGGCCGTGAAGGCGTCCAATCCGCTTGCGGGTTATCGCCAGAAGGGAAAGTCGCCGTAGTTGGTGTCGTTTGTGAAACAGGGAGGGCCATGGCCGCCGCTTGCGGGTAATTGGGGAATTGGGGTTGAGATTCCAGAACCCCCACCCAACACTGTATGGAAGAGCTCTTGACTTGGTTGGCTTCGCCGCGAATCGCTGTGTCCAAGCATATTCAGATGAATTGTCTTGATATTCTGCAGGGCGAGAGTCATGGTCCAAATTCATGCGGACCTCATGGTTTACCTGCTCCGTTTGGCAAACAAAGCACGGGCGGTGTTGTCAAAGGCGTGCAGTCGCTAGACTGGACAGTGCGTCCACTAGCCTTTGAGACAAAGCGCGTGAGCGGCGAAGGGCTCAGCGACGCAACCCAGAATCAAGGTTCGCTGCCTCGACGCCCGTTATGACCTAATGAGAGGCAACACTGAACTTTCAAGTAACGTAGGGACGAGGGAGGCTGAGCGGCAGCTTTATCTTCGCGATGGCCAGCCATGACTTGCACAACTTTGGATGTTGTCTTCTCCACTGCGGGGTAGCGACCGGGGACCCGGTATGATGTGTCGTTATTATGTTGATGCTCGATCGGTCAGGCATTTCTGCAGCGCTCAAGAGGCGTCAGGGCTCTGCCGAATACGGAGCGCCTTGCAGCTGTTTGCGCAGGAGCCAAGGCTTCATCGCTGCGTCTCGGTGAACTCGGTGCTGCGTGGCCTCTATGTGAGCCATGTTCATTTGTTTGATGGCACAGAAAGGGGCGCATAGTGATCTTCGCTCACAAACTTGTCCCCAAGTCTGGCACGATTCCAAGAGTTGTTGCGCTGGCGAGCGGATTCCGACCCATGCGCTGGTGGAAGCAGAGCAGGCTCCAAGCCTCTGATAATGGCAGGGATGGCAGCAAATGCCCGCCGCCAACCTGTATCCGCCCCGTCCGCTCGCGCAGCATCAACTGCCTCCCGCTCGCTGCGAGATGCTGCGTGCAAAAGTCAGGTTGCATGTGCCCGCCGCCATGTCACGCCCGCCTGCGCAACATGACGCTTCGCAGAAGCCATCGACACATGATTTGGCGCCCCGAGGTGTAGCGGCACGTCGTCGGCAGGCCGTGTCTCAGCCTCCTTTGACGACGCTGCTCAAGAGCAAACTCGGTGCAACACACCCACACGTGAAATGTTACGCGGAGCTTGATGCACCGGCTGCCGGGCGGAGCTGGCGGCTGTGGGCCTTTGGCTTTGTCCCGAAGCGGGAGAAGCCGCGAAGCGTTGAGCCGTGGCGACGCCTCCCGAGGCCATGGCTGAGATGGAGTGGCGACGCCCGTGAAGACGGACCGCGATGCATGCGTGCGACGCAGCGCCCAACGTGCGTTTTCCCCTTTCTTCCGTTTCGCTGCATTGCGCCTCGATGCCTGAGGCGTCTTCCTCTGCAGGGTGACTGTGACTGTGAATTGCTGAGGCAGGCGCGCCCCTTGAAATTGCCTCGTGAATCGTGCAGGCGGCGGCGCACTGGTACCTGCGTGGCGCCTTCCGTTGGTGACAAGGTAGTGATAATATCGGTGCTATCGTGCATGGAAGCTGCGTCTGCCGCTCTTTCCTGCTTGCCAATTGTCCGATGGCTTGACAAATACGACAGCGAGAGCATGTGCAACCACATGCCTCGACGAGGACGTGCCTGGGCTTGCTGCAGCCATCTCGAAACTTCCCTCTTTGCGACTCTCCCCATCTACCTCAAACCCCATCATGGCTACAGCAGAGCAGCACGCAGGCACCGCAGCACCGAGGGGCCATCACGCAACAGTCCACAATTAATTGCACACAGGCCAATCGATCGAACCCTAACCCATCCATCTGCGCCTGTGCGGTGCGTCAGCCCGGGCTGGGTAAGGTAGCGAGCGCACGCATCAATGGACGGGAGCTCAAAACCAAGCAGGGCAGCAGGGCAGGCCTCGAGGGCCGTCCGGAGTCCGGAGCCACGGACGATTTCGAGCCACCAGCCTCCGTTTGGCCTCCATCTGGGACCCGCCTCAACCGATCAGAAACATCAACGATCCCTCCTCCACGCCTCCCCCAGACCCCCAGATTCGAGATTGCCTCCCCACAGCCCCACCGCACATGAAGGTCCGGGGCTCGGCGACAGGGGCATGCTGTTGAGCATCTCCACCAACTATCGAGGGCCAGCATTGCCCGGTAGGGCCCAGCGCACCCGCCGAACCGTCTCTCCGATAAGACCAGAGAGGCCAACGGCCACCCACGGCACTCAGGGCTCCCCCTCCCCCGCCTCGCTGGTGCCCCCAGTTCACCCCTCGGCCGCCCCCCGACCTGCGATGCCTGCGTCTTCCCCGCAGCGCCGGGCCGCTTAGACGTCAGCCCGCGACAATGGCATCACCCTGGCCGAGCCAATCGCAAGTCGCCCTTTATTAGAAGTTGTGCGGTTCCCATCATTGCCTCCTGATCGCCCATGGCCTCCAGTCGTTCCTACCTGGGCCTCGGCAACCTTGCTCGAATCCTCTGTCTTTAACGGCGGCACATGTCTGGCTCCACGGGTTTATTTCGCGCTTGTTGGTCAGACGTTGTGAATGCATCTCGTATAAAGACGTCCAGCGTCTCGCAGCCTGCCGCCCGACCCTCTCTCGCTCAAGCGCCCTTCCCGCTCACTGTTTGATCTCAAGAAACCACAGCCCACACTCGACTGTGCTCACTGAGAACACAATGGCGACTGCATTTCACGTCCCGACCGGCCACGTCGGCAACCTCACCTCGGAGCAGGAGGAGAAACTGCGCGACTTCTGGCGAACCGTCTACAAGTTGAACGACGTCTTCGACGCCCACGGCCCGCCCAACGGTTCAGCCAACCCAGCCCAGCTCCAGCGGACCGCAACTGCCTCTTCGCAGCAGTCGACCCAGAAGTCCGGATGGGGCCTTTTCCGACGTTCCACGGCCGAGCCGGCATCGCCTCAGGCCACCCCTAAGACCGACCTCAACGCGACGGCGCAGGAGCTGGATCGCCTGGGCCTGCCCCGGGAACTGCACGACGTCCTCTCCCACCACACCCCCGACACGATCCGGTCCATGGTCATTGGCGCCGTCAAGCACGAGCACCCAGACTCGCTGGCGCTGCGCTTCCTGCGCGCGCGCAAGTGGGATCTTGACAAGGCCCTCGTCATGATGTTCACCGCCATGGACTGGCGATATCGGGAGGCCAAGGTCGACCAGGACGTCATCCCCAACGGCGACGGTGGTGCGCTCGAGGCGGCGGAGAAGGGCGATACTCTGTCCCGCGACTTCATGAAGCAGTGCCGCATGGGCAAGAGTTTCGCTCACGGCACCGACAGAGAAGGCCGACCCATCTGCTACGTCCGCGTCCGCCTTCACAGGGCCTCTGATCAGTGCCCCGAGAGTATCGACCGGTACTGCACGTACCTTATCGAGACGGCCCGTCTGACTCTTAACCCCCCCTGCGAGACTGCGGTAAGAGACGACCCACGGCGCTCCATTCAGCTCACCCCATGGTGCTGACCAGATGTATTTCAGAACCTCATGTTCGACATGACTGGCTTCACCCTCGCGAACATGGACTATGTCCCCGTCAAGTTCATCATCAAGTGCTTCGAGGCAAACTATCCTGAATCTCTGGGCGTCATTCTGATTCACAACGCACCTTGGGTGTTCAAGGGTGAGACCGCCACCCGTATCCACTGCTCATACTTCCATGACTAACATATACGCAGGCATCTGGAAGATCATCCAGGGCTGGATGGACCCCGTCATTCGCGCCAAGGTCAACTTCACCTACGGAAGGGTAGACCTTGAGAAGTTCATCGCCCCCGAACAGATCATCAAGGAGCTCGGTGGCGACGAGGACTGGGAGTACACCTACAGCGAGCCTGTGCCCGGCGAGAACGACCTCATGAAGGACACGGAGACGAAGGATCGCATCACCAAGGAGCGGAAAGAGCTTGCCTCGCAGTTCGAGGTGGCAACACAGAAGTGGATCAAGGCCGAGGGCAAGGAGGCCGAGGAGCTCAAGGAGGAGCGCAACCGCCTCGCCGCTGAGCTTCGAGCCAACTACTGGAAGCTCGACCCCTACGTGCGCGCGCGGTCTGTGCTTGACCGTCAAGGCGTGCTCCAGGGCGGCAAGCCGGTGGTGTGGTATCCGGATGTGCGGGAAGAGACGGCTGTTGAGGAGGTGGACACCAAGGAGAAGGCTACCGTGAACGCTGCCCCGGCCACCGTCGCGGCACCATCGGCGGCGGCGGCGTGAGGCTAACGAATACCACATGAATTTAATGTATGTAGACAGATTTCCTTCACTTTTGAAAGACGCAATCTGCATGATGGAACGATGTCACACATCTGAACCTTGATGAGGAGCCAAGTGACCGCTGCGCGATGGCCACCCGTTTCTGTGGAATGCAAGTGTTCCCGGCAAGGGACCATTGCCCTGCTCTGGTTTGAAAGATTGCAGGGATGTCATTGCGCGAAGGCCAATACGGGCATTCGCCGAGTGATGTCCAGCCGCAACCACCATGCGCGTCCATCGCCACGGATCGCGTCGACTTCGGGCAGGGCAGCATTTATACGCACGTTCAATGCTCACCCGAACCAATTGATATCGGCATGGCCCTCATACAATTGGCGTTTGCGCCAGCAATAACAACAACAACAATTTGGCGTTTGTCATCTGAAACTCGCAACCCTCGGCGCGGGTTTGAGAGTTGAGACTGGGTGCGCCCCCGAGCATGGGAGCCGTACCCGCGACTGGCGCGTACATTCGCAGCGACTGACGTGGAACAGTGGAAGGATCCCCCAAGGGGCTGGGGCCGCTTGCAAATGGACGCGTCAGTGCGGTGAGATTGGCAAAACGAAAACCCCAGGGTGGTTTGTCGGTATTTAACAACAGGATGGTGAGGCCCTCGCCATTGTGACTCGTGAGCTTGGGCTTTGCTTGGTGTGCGTCGCAGAAGCAGCTAAGCATCAACATTGAACACACCATGCGGTCAACACGAGAGACTGTGCCGCTTCTGCGCGGGCGGCAGCAGGCCCAGCTATTGCCCCAGCTCAGCGCTGCCTCGCGGTTCCAGGCCCGCCGGCCGCGCACGATCGTCGCTCTTCTGGCGTTTATGGTGTTTTGCGTCTCTGCGAGTGGGACGCTCGCCAGCGTGCCGCAGACGCAGCTCCTCGAGGATAACATCTGCAGGCGGTACTACGACAGCGGCGTGCATGAAGCGGCCAGCGATGGTGCCATTGACGAGAGACTGTGCAAGGCTGCGCCAGTGCAGTCCAGGCTGGCGTATCTTGATGGCTGGCGCGGCATGATTGAGGCCATCGTCGGTGAGTCGTCTCTGCCCATGACAATTCGTCGTATAGCCGGTTGGACTGACAAGTATCCGTCAAGGTCTGTTCATGGCTTTCCCGTACGGAGCTCTCGCAGACAAGTACGTTTGACTGCACCACGACATATGTGATGCGCAAAGCATGTACGAAGCATGTGCTGACCAGCGCAGAATCGGCCGGAAGCCCATCATCCTGCTCTCCCTCGTCGGCTTCACCCTCTCCGGGGCGTGGGTCGCCGGCGTTCTCGCCCTCGGCCAGGCCGTTCCGGTGCAGCTCGTCTTGTTCTCTCCAGCCTTTTTCGTCATCGGCGGTGGCAGCTGCGTGGTGGTGTCGGCGCTCTACTCTGCGGTTTCCGACGTTGCAGATGAGGACACGAGGTGTGTATATCCAGCTGAGCTGTGCCGCTCTCACTACTCTCACCCGCGAAGCCATCGTTGCTGACTTGGCGTTGCGTCAATAGGGCAACCTCGTTCCTCATGATCTCTTTTGGCGGCCTTTCCGGGGGCTTCGTCGGCCCCGTCGTCTCCTCGGCGCTGATGCAAATGTCGTCGCCGTGGACGCCCTTGCTGGTGAGCTTCGCGGCCATGCTCCTGGGAGGGGCCGTCATGGCGTTCGTGCCCGAGACGATGCCGCCTCGCAAGGAGGACCCGGACGACGAGCCGCCGATGCTCGACACGACGGGGTCCATGATCCGGCGACACCTGCGCCACTCGGCGGCGCAGCTCGAGGAGTCGCTCAGCATCCTGCGTCAGCCGGCGCTAGTCATCGTCCTCGTCGCCTTCCTATCGCCCGTGCCTATGGCCATTGCCATGAGCCAGCTGTTCGCGCAGTACGTCAGCAAGCGCTTCGACTGGTCGCTCGCCTCGGCGGGCTACCTTCTCTCCGTGCGCGGCATCGTCAACATCCTGGTCCTGCTCGTGGTCGTGCCGGGCCTGTCGAGACTACTCCTCTCGCGGGTCGTCTTCCGCAAGGGCCTGTCTGCGACGGGCAAGGACCGTCTCCTCGCGCAGCTCTCCGCCATTGTCATGACGCTCGGCTGCCTACTCATAGCCGGCAACAGCATCGTGCAGGTCGTTGGCGGGCTGGTCATCAACACGCTCGGCGCGGGCCTCCCGCCGCTGGTGCGCTCCCTGGCGGCCAACTTTGTCGACAGCCAGAACACGTCCAAGCTGCAGACGCTCATCGGCATCACCGAGGCGGTGAGCTCGCTGTTCGCGGGGCCGGCCCTCGCGGGGTTGTTCTCCGCGGGCATGGCGCGCGGGGGCGCGTGGATGGGCCTGCCGTACGCGTGCCTGGCGGTGTTTCTGGCCGTCACGACGATGCCGCTGTTCCTGCTGAGGATTCCGGCGGGGGAGTGCGCTGATGCGCAGAGCATGTCTGAGAGCGGGAGTATTGCGTGTATTCGGGGCGTGGATGGGGAGTGTCTGCTGGGGTTCCGCTGTGCGGCGCATGTGCCCCTGGAAGACTATCCGGCGAGGATGCCGGGGCGGTCGACATACCGTTAACGAGTTGATTTTGGGGCTTTGTCATATGCTGGTCATGTTTGAACACTGTTCGGAGCATCCCTTTTGTACAAGAGAGAACAAGCGTGCCGTGATACCAATACTACCTAATACCCAAGTTAGTGATTCAGAGAAGGTTTGAGCTGCCTCTTATAGTCTTTACTCCCATCACGTCAAGATAGAATAATGTCCCTCTCCGAGGCTGGCGCAAGATATACGCAAGCGATGGATATGTTGGGTTGGCCGTCATGCAAGTTGGGCAATGTCCAAATGCCTCAGAACATGCACCGAAGGTGAGACCTCGCTAGCGGGCACCACCGACAATGAAGTCCAGTTCGTTCGAGGCTGTGTATCAGAACAAGACACAGTTCGGGTGTACGCTCGTCACACTTCCTGTCAGTATCTACATGGTATTGTCTTTGTGAAGCTGACATGTGCATGAGCTGGCGCGCGGGCGCAGCCTGTCACCTCTTTGGATGGTGCACTGCACAATATATGACTTAGCGTTAAGATGATTTGATAGCTGGAAGGCCGTTGAGGAACGCGCCGGACCGGTAAGTAAAGGTCGCTGGCAGCCTGGCAACTGTCTGTCAGTGGCTGTTGGCCGTAATGTGTGTTTGCTGCGGTCGTCCCGACACATCCCCGCCGAACCAAATCTTCCTCTACGAACCAACAAAGAGCGCGTAACCCCCTGAGGATCGCGTTTTCGTGATGGATCCTTTTTCATCATCCTAACCGCACCTCGAACACGCATCAGCTACTAATGGATATCTCTGTGTATGCGGCAAGGGCGGAAGACATTGACGTACTGTCCACGTTTCAGATTGCCAACTTTTTCCGCCAGCACAAGTCCATTACGAGAGATGATTGCAATCACAGGGCTGCGGCCATTGTCAAAGGTCCAGTGTCTCCCACGCCTATACAAGGTCAGGCCAGCTACACCGTGGTGGCCGACTCCAGTCACCAGCGGAAAGTCGTCCAATTCCGCCATACAGCCCTAAACATCGGCATCGTCCGCCAATCACGGCAAACTTATGGAGACTTTGTCCCCAACTGCGAGTTTCGTGGCATGGTGAATGATCTCTACATGTACGAGATGGATCTCGTGGCGGGAGTTGCGTTCTGTGGAGCCCGGCGTTGGCTCCTCGCCCCTGGAATGGAGCAGCATCTTCTTCGAACTGTGGAGGACTTTGCGAGGTCAGTTGACGCGCGTGTCATATCGCATTGAGCTCCTTACTCACTCAAGGGCTAGGTTCTTTGCTTCAGCTTGGACGAAGCCGCTGGGATCGAAGCAGTCACCGGACGTCGCCCGCGGATTGTTCGCACACTATGCCAACATAGTCGACCAGCTTTCCCATGGCCTGCCTGATCGCTTTCAGTTGAAGCTAGACGAGATGCGCCGAGGACTGCCACTACTGTTTCGGCCGGACTACCCGATGGTGCTCAACCACGACGACCTCTTAGAGATGAACATTCACGTGAATGAGGACACTGGCCACATCACCGGCATCGTCGACTGGGCCGACGCCAAAACCGCCCCTTTTGGCATATCGCTTGGTGGTCTCGAAACTGTTCTTGGCGTCCAGACTTCCTCAAGCTGGTTCTTCCATCCTGATCACAACTTCTTCCGAGAGAGGTTTTGGAGCGCCTTCTACGCCCTAATTGGGCCTCTTGCCGATGATGATCGGCGGGCAATCGATATCGGGAGGGTGTTCGGTTTGTTTCGGACCCATGGCTTTGATCGCCGGCCCGAGAAGAAAAACGCGGTGCCTCTTGCGGAGGGAGATCCTGGTCTCGTGTGCCTTGACGCATTCTGTCTGCCTTAGGCCAGCCGTCTCAGCTTCGGGCTTCACACAGGCTATCGCGCCTGAGAGATGAAGGAGTGCGTATATCACGACGCTTGTGCTGCTCCTGCATGACTCCAATGTACAGAGATCCATGGCTCACGACTGCCATCTATATTGCCCACTAACACAAGTCAAGGCATGCAAGCGGGATGCATGAATTTGGAGCACATATATGTGTATTGCACTGCAAGCTTCTGCTACATAGTGAAAGTCATGGCTTCAAACTGGCGGTAAGGACCGCCAGGGGTAGGAAACGACGATGAGCATGTAAAGCTAACTGCCTTTATCCTTCTAAACACCAGGACGATACAAGAGACTAGACGTAAAGCGGGCTATGTCTAAAGAGGTCGTGTGCCTGTTGTCCAGACGGCTGAGGCTGCGGAGACTGGCGGCAGACCGAACCGGAGATGGCTAAAGTTGGCATCCACGGACGAGTCGCCGCCAAGTTCTGTGATCTCGGTCGTGCAGTTCAGTTGCTTCAGACCATCCCTGGCCGGCTTGCCCAGATGAGACTCCCTTACAAGTACATCAACCCAAATAATAAGCCGTGCCATTTCATTCTAGTAATGCCCAGGAAGACACTCCATCCCCCAGCTCTTCCACTCGCCCTGCGCGTCGGTGCACGTGTTGGGCTTAACCTGCGAGCGGCCAGCACTGCACGCCGAGTCTGTGTATACGAAAACTGGCCCCTTCTTGTCAGCCAAACAAGTTGCGAGTGGGAGAAGGGGGGCACCCTCCGCCGCAGATTCTGGACCTTACATTGACAGCCATCGCCAATCTCGGTCAGTTTCACCGACTCGACGGAATCGTCGCCAAAGGAGTGGCACGGCGGGCGGACGACGTCGGCGCCGTAGACCACGCGCGTGCACAGGGGCATGAAGGAGCAGCCTTGGTGTGCGTAGGTTTGAAACGTGCCGACGTGGGTGGCCGGGTCGCGGCGTAGGACAGTGGCCGCGAAGGAGCCGGTGCCAAGGGCGAGGAGGGTGAGGAGGGGAGCGGCGAAGTACATGGCGATTCGATGTTTTGGATCGTAGTGGTGAGGCTTGTGCGGTAAGAGAGTAGCCAACTTTACATCTATTGGGGATCAGCAAGCAGTTATCCAGGACTTGGTCGCGTGGAGAGATTCGCGGGCTTATATACCCGGCGACTCTCCGAGAAGCCTGCCGTCTTCAACGCAACGCAGACCCTCGGGACTCTGCCCATTGCAGCCCTTTGCGTCTCGTTGCAAGGCATGGCATGTATAGCTGACCAACTTTTTTCCTTGCACCAGAGCAACACGAGAGACTAGACTTGAAAAGGGCCACACGTCTGCAGTGGTCGCGTGCCTGTTCTCCCGGGCGGCTGAGGCTGCGGAGACTGGCGGCAGACCGAATTGGAGATGGCCGAAGTTGGCATGCACGGAGGATTCGCCAAGTTCTGTCATCTCGGTCTGTGCCGGGCGTGAATACGAAAGTGCTGCATGTGTCACTAGAGGAGCTGCTATGAAAAGGAGAGGCCGTTCGGCCGTCGTTTCTCATGGTAATTCGCGGCACCACACTGTCGTTACAATTTAGTGTGCATGGATGTGTAAATAGGAAAGAAGGCACATGTACATTCAACATTCAAACATTGTTGCATCAAGCTAGGAGTACGCTATGTGCTACAAGTTGCACATCAGCGCCAATTGTTCTTGTCGTCGTCGTCGAGCGTTGAGAGTTTACGATACACCGTCTTGATCGCGGTACCGGTCGCGCAGCTTCGGAGAGGACAAGGAAGCGGCCAACAATGATGACACCTCCCTAGTGCCAACTTGTCACAAAGTTTGAAGGCTGACCCGACAGCGCTTGCCCGTGATTCTACAGCCTCAGACTGCATGAAATCCGACCATCTGAAGACATGGAATCAACAGATTCAACACGCTGGCTCATGCGGTCCAGTGCAGTTCAGTTGCTTCAGGCCCAAGTGCCTCTGGCGTATGTAGCAGCTGGCGGGCGTCTGGCCAAAGGCGCCAGTGGCCCCACCAAAACCGCTTCAGCGCCACTTAGCGCGCCGCCCGGCAGCGACCCATCCTAAATCAACCTCCACTAACCTCCATCTTCAAACATCACCACATTTCTCCATCTTCCTCTCCCACCGTCAACCACCCCCGCCACATCGTCAACATGACGACCGCCCACAGGCCGACCTTTGATCCCGTTAGCCACCCCCCTCGCCCTTCTGGCATCGCGCAGACTAACCCCTCCTCCCAGGCCCGCGGCAAAGAGGCCCTCCGCGGCCCGGCCTACCACCAGCGCCTCCTCCCCGCCCACACGCAACTCAAGTTCCGCAAGGCCGGCCAGGGCGGCGACGCCGACGACGAGCCTGAGCGCGACCTCGCCGCCGAGCTGCTCGCTGCCGAGGCCGCCCACTTCGCCAAGAAGAACGGCGGCGCCCTTCCCCCGCCCGCCGGCGACGACGACGACGATGAATCCGTCTCCGCGACCGCCGCGGGCAAGCGAGCCCTGCCGTCGGGACGGAACGGCGACGGTGGCGGCGACGACGACGACGAAGAGGATCTAGCGGCGAAGCGGCGCAGGATCTTGGAGGAGACGCGGGAGATTGACGCCGACGACAGCAGCGAGGAGGATGACGACGATGATAGCGACGACAGCGATGACGAGGACGAGGACGCCGAGCTCCAGCGCGAACTCGAGCGCGTGCGGCGTGAGCGAGAGGAAAAGAAGAAGCGCGAGGTACGACTGCTCCCCTCAGCCGTCTCCGATGACTGGCACATCACAACCCGCCCGACGCAGTGCTAACGAACCTGGAACAGGAAGCAGAGCGCGCCAAGGAGGAAGAAGAGGCCCGCGAGCGGCACATCGCCTACGGCAATCCCCTCCTCAACAAGCAAGACTTTACCATGAAGCGCCGCTGGGACGACGATGTCGTGTTCAAGAACCAGGCCCGCGGCACGGAGGATAAGGGCAAGAAGAAGGAGTTTGTCAACGTGAGTGTTCCTCCCGCATCCCTCGCCAAGCACATGCCCCTGGTGTGTCATGCACACACGTCACTTTTGAACGTGTTGGTGTGGAATGCAGCTAACAATCCGCGAATAGGATCTCCTGCGGTCCGACTTTCATCGTCGCTTCATGAACAAGTACGTGCGGTAGACGAGCTGCTGCGGTGGAAAGACATATGGTTTGGCGCATGGGTGGCATCATGATTCATGCGAGGCACGTAAAGAAAGTGCCGCTATAGAAGGTCTCTGGTTTTGCTCTATTCATTGCTTCGTTTTTGTACGATAGTAGATACCCCAACAACGCCGGGGTCACGTCAAGCTCATTACACGCTGCCTCGACAAATGTAATCGTCGTGGTCTTCTCGTCACGCGTCCTCCCCTTGCTCGTGCTTCTCCTGCGCGAGCAGCCGCTTCTCCATCTCCTCAAATGCGCCCAGCACGTTGCCGTACTTTTGGTACGTGCCGTCGCGGAAGCCGACGTCGACCTTTTCGATGGAGCCCTCCTCCTTCCAGCGCTTGGCGATGAGCTCGTCAAAGGTCTCGCCGTCGCCGCGCTCCAGCGCCCACAGGGCCTTGTACGCGCCGCCGAGGGCGCACGCGCTGCCCCCGACGTCGAGCTTGTACACGCCGTCGGCGCCGCCGAGCACCTCGCCGACGACGCGCGCGATGGCCGGGTTCATGGACCCGCCGCCCACGAGGTAGATGCGGCGCGGCTGCGCGGGCAGGCCGGCGCGCGGCGGGTGGACGAGGTTCTGCGACCGCAGGCGCATCGACAGCGCCTGCGACTCGGTGATGACGCGCGGGTCCGTCTCCGCGGGCCAGCCATCCGGGGACTCGGCCAGGTCGCTGCCGTCGGCGGCGGAGCATGTGAACCGCCAGGTGCCGGCGCGGATGTTGGGCACCGTCTCGCGCAGGTAGAAATACAGGCCCAGCTTGGCCCGGTCACCGTCCTGGGCCACGTCCAGGGGCGGGGTGTCGAGGACGGCCTTGTTGAAGGCGGCCCAGGGGTCGTCACCTCCGCCGGAGGTGTTCGTCGACGTCTGGGGCAGCGCATCGCGGACCTTTTCGCGCGCGAGCCCGCCGTTCTTGTAGCACAGCATAAACATGTAGTTGCCGCGGGTGGTCGGGTGGTTGAAGAAGTGGTACGCGCCGTCGGGCTTGTACTTGGGCGTGTTCATGAGGAAGGTGGTGGAGGTGCCGAGCGAGACGATGGCGTCGAGCGGGCGCAGCGGCAGGGCGAGGATGGTGGCCGGGTTGTCGCCCGTGAAGGGCACGACGGCGCACTCGGGGGCGAAGCCGTACCGCCGCACGAAGTAGGGGGAGACGCGGCCGAGTGTCGCGCCGCCGTCCATGACGGGCTCGCCCAGCTTGCGGCGCAGCTCGGCGGCGGGGGCGCCGCGCCCGCCCGCGGCGAGGGCCAGCAGCTCCTCGCTGTAGCGCTGGTTGGGCATGTCCCAGAGGTTCATGCCACAGACGTCGCCGACGTCGAGGGGCGCGATGGCGCCGAGCAGGAGGGAGGCGAGCCACGACGAGACGAGCGAGATGCGCGCCGTGGCGTCGTACACGCCGGGGCGGACGCGCTTCATGCGCATGATTTGCAGGCCGGTAAACCGCTACACATGTTGTATCTTTGTCAGCTTGTCTGCCGCTTCACATCTTTTTCTTTGTCTCTTTCTCTCATCGTAAGCGAGACGGGGGAGTGAGGGGGGAAGGGTGAGGGATGATGGTGAGAAACGCACATGGTGAGCTCCACTGCCCGTCACCTCGGCCAGCCTCTCCCTGCCGCCGAGCTCCGCGTCAAAGGCGTCGCACTCGCGCTGGGTGCTCTGGTCCTGCCAGTTGGGGGACCAGTCGTGGGCGAGCACGGGCGCGAGCTGCGCGACGAGGGGCCTCTCCGGGTCCAGCGCGGCGAGGGCGTCCTCCGCGCCGGCGGCCCAGTACACGCTGCCGTGCTGCTGGCCGGAGCCGCTCACGGCGGCGATGCGAGCCATGGGCACATTCTGGGCCTCCATGGCGGCGGCGAGGCGCTCCAGCACCAGGTCGAGCGACTCCATCCACATGGCGACGGGGGCGTAGACCTCGCCCGTCGAGGGCCGCACGTGCACGCCCTTGCTGACGCCATACTTGGGGCTGAAGTCGCCGTCGAAGTCGACCTTGGCCTGGGCGACGGTCTTGAGGTCCGAGTTGACGACGATGGCTGCGGATTTCGAGTGTCAGTCTGGGCGTTGTGCCTGTGGCATGGGCGCGGAGATGCGCGTGTTGAGGTGAAGGTGAGGTTGAGGTCGCCTACCCTTGAGCTGCTGCGTCGACAGGTCAAAGCCCAGGTACAGAGGCCTCGTGTCCGCGCTCATTGTCACCGACAATCCGAAGCGGTATACTCCTCTTGGTATTTATTCTTGAAAAAGAAGGGGGGTAAAATTGGTGTCGGGTGTAAGTGAAAGGGCAAGAAAGGCTGCCCCGGCGGCGCTCTCACTCACGATGGTGTTGCTGCTGCTCGGCGGGCGCGGAAGTGGTTCGCGAAAGACTGTCGTAAATAAACTGGGGAATATGACTTCACACTCATCACCCAGCAAAACGTCCTCATCAATCGCCACGAAAACCGCATCCCGGGACAGACCACGCTATTTATTGCGCCCTCGCTGTGGAGAATCAAATAGCTTAACCCCCCATTGTTTAACGAGGCGCCTCGCCTGGATCCGGATCATTCGTCGATGCCTGCTTCGTCGCTCAGCTGGTGCGCTCCTGGCCTGACGCCCGCCAGCGGCTGCACACGTTCGAGCGCTGAGGGTAGAAGCTTGCGAGTGATTGCGCAGTTCTGATTTCACGGCGCACGCCAAGGACCAGGCCCAGTCAGTGGTGGCTCGGCAGATGCACCATTCAGCCTGAATTCCAACCTCGCGGTTGACCTGTCCAGGGACCGACCCGGGGGGGGGGGGGAGACGTCCCGCAGGGAGGGCCCGCCGCCAATGGGCGCCTGGCGCTTCAGGGACGCAGGCGGGGATGGAGGGGCAGCAGCCGATGGGCTGAAGTGGGATGCTTGGGCTTTGCTGGGATGGATGGTTGTTTTCATTCAACCCCAAAGGTACGATTCAACCCAACATGGCTTGACGGGGCCCTTTTTATCCAGAACAGCCTTCGAAGGATGATGGATGCACTGGCGAGACCCCCGCGTGTCGGCGCAGCCGTGGCACGGTCTCTTCTCGGCCAGGGTCCCGAACTCCCCGCGGCGTTGGAAGCAGGTACCCGCTCGCGTTTGCCCAGAACGGCGCCCTTGGCCACCGGAATCAGGGCCGAAGCATCAACGAGACACGGCCGTACATTCCAAGTGAGATCGAATGCCAACAACCTTCGTCTTCAAGCGGCACATTGCCGTGTGCCATCATGATATTCCACACTCGCCCAATCTATACAAAACCACCCGGCCGACGTGCGATCAAACGTGACACGCAGCAGTAATCGTCCCGTGGTTATACAAAAGTGTACCAAACGCTGCTCTAATGCCTGTGCTTGTCCTCTACAGCCGCCGCCGACTTGTCCTCGGCCTCGCCGTTCTCGCGCGGCTCCGGGTCCGCCTCGACGTGCACCGACCCGGGGATGAACTCGTCGAAGCGCTCGTTGACGGGCCCGTCGCGCGACACGAAGCGCACGCGCACGCGCCGCACGCCCCGGACCTTGCCGCCCACGAGCGTCCGCACCCCGTCCTCGAGCTCCTTGACGTCCTCGACCGTCCACTTGCCCGGCACCGCCATCTCCAGGTCCACCAGGTAGTTTTGCCCCGACTTGATGCCCGACACCTCGCGCAGCTCCGCCTCGTGGCCCTCGCTCACGTTGGCCAGCGCGCGTTGCGCCTGCTTGCGCACCGAGCCCTTGACCTCGTCGTCGATGCTCTGGTCCGCCAGCTCGTACAGCGCCGACTTGGTGTTCTCGAACCCGGCGTTGACCACCATGATGGAGATGAGGAGCCCGCCCACCGGATCCAGCCACGCTGCGTTCTCGAACACGTTGGCGCCCAGAATGGCGGCGAGGGTCACGATGCCCGTCAGGCTGTCGACGCGGTGGTGCACGGCGTTGGATGCGAGCACCGACGATTTGCGCTCGCGGGCCACCTTCATCGCTGCGTGGGGGAACCCTTGTTAGCGACACAGCACGCGCTGCCATCCGCCCTCCGCGGAATCAACTTACTAGCATGGTAGAGCCACTCCTTGATCAGGATTGTGCCCGCCGCGAGCCACGCCGCGTGGATGCTGGGGATGCCGAGGCTCGCCGCGCTGTGGGAGTGGCTGTGGCCGTGTCCGCCCATGTGCTCCAGGATCTCGTGCGCGGCCTCGGGGTTGAAGTGACCGTACAGGCTGATGGCGCTCTCCCAGCCCATGTAGAAGCCGCCGATCAGCAGCATGCCCGACACGCCCAGCGAGCCCAGGCTCTCGACCTTGCCGAAGCCCAGCGGGAAGCGGTCCGAGGGAGGCTTGAGGCTCCACGAGACGGTGGCGAGCGTCAGGATGTCGGAGGCGAGGTCGGCGATGCTGTGCCAGGCGTCGGCCGTCATAGACTTGGAGTTGAAGGCCCAGCCGCCGATGAACTTGGCCACGGCCATGCCCAGGTTGGACAGCAGGCCAATGCGCGTTATGCGCACGCCCGAGTCGTTCTTGTTGGCGGAGATGAGGTACGAGTTGTCGTGGTGGTGATGGTGGTGGCCATGGCCGTGACCGTGGCCGTGGCCGTGGTCGCCGTGGTCGCGCGTCTGCTGCTGGGCGGCGCCCATGATGCCGGGCAGGGAGCGGATTCGGCCGCGGACGGGGGCGAGGTGGAGGAGGACCGAGGGCGCGACGGCGACGGAGGCGTCGAGGTTGTGGTGGTGGAAGAGGTGCAGGTGCGAGGAAGGGCCGCAGCCGCACGAGGTCGATTGCGACGTCGAGGTCGGAGTCGAAGTCGAGGTCAAGGTGGGTGCCGACGACGAAAGCGCTGACGACAGTGGACGCGTCAGGGGCCTGGACGCGGTGGACGAGAACCCTAATGTCTGCTGGCAGGCGTGGGGTCCCCTGCGTGCAATTGAGACGGCAGTTGTTCGCGCAGCAGCCGTTAGCAAGGGCGGTGAGTTCGCGAACGTGCGCGAGGACGACAATGCCTCGGGGTGGTGGCGATGACGGTGGTGTTGTAGTTGTCTGCGTTGTTGGTACGGTGTCCTCATTGACGGCAGGCCGCTGCCGCAGGGGAGCTGGGCTGACCGGTCGCTGGCACCAGCGCCGGGCGTGCTGCGACGCCGCCCTGTTGTTGCAGCTCGAGCTGGTGCAGGTGGTGGTGCTGGTGCTGGCGCCCGGACCGGCGCTCCCACTGCTACACCACCACCGCCACCACCACCACCCTTGGCCGCGCCGACGCCTGGTCGCCCTGCCGCTGCTGGCGCCGCGACCAAAGACGCCGCGACCACGGTCGTCGCCGGTACTGATGCTGGTACCGCCGCTGCTGGTCGCCGTCCGCCTCTCCCCCGTCTCGTCCGCGCTGTCGCAGCCGCAGCGGCCGCAGGCGTCGCCCCAGACACAGACACGCACCACACGGCGAGCCCCGTGGAGCGCCGGGCCTGGGGAGACATGTATGTGACGAAACCAGTCTAGGCGCCTCGCAATTGGCTGCAGCTCCGGGGGTTGCGCGATGGACAGGTGAGGCAGGTAGTAGAGTAGGTAGTTATCCTCGCGGGCCCTTGAGGAGGAGGAGGGGGGGGGGGTTTCTCGGCTTAAGCGAGCGACGGGATACTGCTCGTACGAGGTTGAGCGGCGCGCGCGCGGGCGAGCGATGATGAGCTGGTCCGTGGTCCCCGTGCCGAGAGGAGCGCGCAAAACGCCGGCGACGGAGGGGGACGGAGGGGGATGAAGGGGAGGTGAGGGAAAGAGATGCAGAGAAAGAGAGAGAGACGGACGGTCGTCGTCGAAGCTCGTCTCTCCGAGGCGACCCCCAGTCTATGCTCGTCGGTCTGATGTCAGTCGGAGTGAGTTTGAGTGTGAGGCGAGGCGCGCGCGGCGAGCGAGCTCGGTCTCCGTTGCGTCCCGCAGTCGGGTCGCTGCCGTGATTTTCCAGTCGCCAGGCGGCCGAGGTGCCTGAGGTGCCGCCGCGCCCGTGTCTCCATGGTGCCCGTGGGTTGTGCCCGCAGCAGCAACCTAATAACTAAGCCCAGGCCGAGTGCGGGTTCCCGGTCCCTATCAGGGACGTGTTAGGTGAGGTGGGCTGAGGTCTGTTTTCCCGTCCACTGCAGGCGCCTTCCACCGCTGCCGGGCAGACACTTGTTCCCCTAGGTACCTTGTCCAGTTGCCCGTCGGGCGTGCTGCTGCTGCTGCTGATGGACGCCGGGGCCAGTCAGTGAGTCTGGTGCAGGTGGTGGTGCCTGGCGCGGCCTGGCGCGATTCTGCCGCTCCGGAATCGCCCCCCCGGCGGCAACGGCTCCTGCTGCTTGCCGCATGCAGCCATCCATGCATGGCATCCCGTCTCGTGTCTCTCGTCGTCGCATACACGTTACATCCTGGACCCCGGGCACAAACTTCAAGAAGAGGCAGGTCCCTTTGCGACAACACGCGCGCGCACTGAGCCGTCTAGGTACCTAGTATCTGCTACTCGTCCACGGACGACCTGCGTCACTGGGCGATGGCTCCCAGCGGCCGCAATCCAGCTACCTCCCGGCATCCCGCACAGCAGCTGTAAGCCACTAGCTACAAAGCACGACAGCGCGCCAGCGCGCCAGCCAGCCAGCCAGAGCTGCCGCCGCCCCCGGCAAGGTACCGAAGCTGGTTCCGAGCCGGGCATTGGCCGGGACTGTCTAGGTGCGTTTGGGCCGGTGGGGGGTTCGCAGACACACGCTCCAGCTGCAGTCATCATCATCAGTGGTGACGTCCTCGTTTTTTCTTCCCATCCCCCAGCTGTAGCGCGACTTCTGCGCCAAACGTGATCCCCACACCAAGCTCGGAAGCTCGAGGTGGCATGATTCGGAACGCCTCTACCCATTCCCATCTCCATCCCCCCCAGTCCAGTCTCGCACCCGACCAAACCGCGCCCATTGCATTTCCAATTGCGCCCCCGGCCACTCGACGCTCCGTCTCGCCTGACAATCTGATCTCGCACCCACCCTTCATCATCACCCTCCGCCGCGACATCTCTCGGCGGCCTGGGCGCGTCCCCTCCCCACTGCGCCGACCCAATCGCCGCCTCGCCTACCGCACCGGGCTTCATCCCGAGCCCGCCCCCCCAGCTTCGTCCGAGATCCGTTCCTCAATCACCGCGCTCCGATCCGAGCCCGCGCTCGCTCACTCACTCACTCACCGCCCGCCCGCTCGCAGCGCCGACCAGCATCCGTGCCAACACCCAACGCGCCCGACGTCATCTGCTACAGCGGCCCTGCTTATGCCGTGGCTGCCGTGACCGCCGCCCCCGGCATCCCACCTCGCAGCTCCTCCGATGCGGAAACCACTGATGCGCATTCCCTACACGGACATCCTCGCGCCGCCCACCGTCATCCCCCCGTCTGCTGCCTCCCCTCAAGGCGCCCTCGCGGCGCTCAAGCACTTCTTCGCCTCTCCGCCTCCTCGCGGCCTACCGGCCTCGACCGTTGTTCTCACCGGCGCCGGGCTCTCCGTCGCCTCCGGCCTCGCCGATTATAGAGGTCCCAACGGCACCTATAGGGTTAACAAGACGTACCGCCCAATCTACCACTACGAGTTTCTCAGCAATCATGAGGCACGCAAGAGGTACTGGGCGAGGAGCTTCCTCGGCTGGTCCAGTCTTCACAAGGCTTCGCCCAATGCGGGCCATTATGCCATCAGGGACATGGGAGACTTGGGCTTGATTCGCAGTGTTATTACACAGAATGTTGATTCCTTTCACCCCAAGGCTCACCCTCAAATACCAACGCTCGAGCTGCACGGCTATCTGAGGGCCACTGTCTGCACCACATGCCGCAGCGAGTTCTCCCGAGACGAGTTTCAGGAGCAGCTGGCCCGACTGAATCCCCGCTGGGCGGATCTTCTCCGGGAGGCCTTGGAATCGGGAGCCCTCAACACGGAGGATCCGGTGGAGCGGAGGTATCGGGGCCTCAAGTCCAACCCTGACGGCGACGTCGACCTTCCCGAGGCGCCTTATACCACTTTCAGATATCCCTCTTGTCCAAAGTGTCTGGAGAAGCCGCCGCTTAAGCCGGACGGCCACCGACACACAGTCCAGGTTGATGCCGAGGGCGCCTGGCAGCTTCCCAGCACGGGCGGGATTCTGAAGCCTGCTGTCGTCATGTTCGGCGAGAGCATTGCCACCAACGTCAAGTCGGCGGCGGAGGAGGCGATAGACGGCGCAGGTAGACTGCTTGTGCTTGGCACCTCGCTGGCCACGTACTCGGCGTGGAGACTGGCCAAGCGTGCCAAGGATAGGGGGATGGCCATTGCCATTGTAAACATGGGTGGCGTGAGAGGAGAGGAGCAGTTCTTCGCCGACCTGGACGCGAAACAGGCCGGCGAGCAGGGGGTGAGAGTGGAGGAGTCGACAGACCATCTTCTGCCCGCGTTGGTCTCGGAGCTGCGCAAGGAGCAAGCCGCCGCCGCGTCCGGCGCAGGCTTCGTCGCCGGAGCGCCGCAGCAACATGCCTTCAAGGACATGCTCTCGTAGACGTAGATATATGTACATCCCGTGTCATGTGTCAGATGCCACATAGTACACGTCAAATTTAAAAGAAATTGCCGAGACTTGCAGTCTTCGTCTTCGCCGGCTGCTGTTCGGTGGCGGATGCTTCGTCGCTGCTCTTAGGGGGACTCGCTTTCTGTTCTTTCGGCTCTGGGGCTTGTTGCTTCTCCTGCTTTTGAGGTTTGCGCGATGCCTCGTCCTTCTCAATCGCTTTCAGCACTGTCGCGAATCGTTAGCGTTTGCGAGCGCACGGGCGGTATTCGGAGGCAGCACGCACTCTCTTCCCAATCCGCTTCCCTCTGCGGGTCGCCCGTCCCGAGGACCTTCTCGGCATCGACTTCCTCCCCATTTTGTATCCTCTGGACGACCTCCCGCAGCTGCGCTATCCGATTGGACGATTGTCTGGCGTACTGCTCCGTCTGCTTGCGCAGGGCAATCATCTGGATCGACATGGAGCCGATGAACAGGAACATGACGATAAAGTACGTCGCGGGGTTCCACTCCTTGGACTTGCTCCGCAGCTTATTCCGGTTCTCCTTGCGCAGCGGCTTCGGCACCAGAGACTTCCAGAACCCCGTGTCGGCGACGGAGGCGGGAGCCGCCGTGCTGCTGGCGTGCCGCAGGCTGACGCGCGGCGGCGGGACATGAGGCGCGGCGGCGGCGCAGCGAGCGCGCACGAGGCTACCAGCCCGGACGGAAACGCGCTGCAGCGACATGCTCGTTGGGCTTCGCGGACGGTGGTGCGTGGTTCGGCAGTGTTCGGAGTTCGTGAGACGTTGGAAAATGTTCGAATCTGGGGAAGCGCCGCGCCGAAGTCTGAGACGACCCACCCAGCCGGGCCAATCTGGGCGCCGTTGCGGCGGGTTGCCCCGGACGACGGCCGATATTTAGCCCCCACCACGGGAGGAGCACCCCTGCCGCAGCGCAGCGCAGCTCCTTCCGTACGCGCTCGTGCCCAGTCAGAGCTGCCTCAATACCACACATACACGTGAATTGAGATCCTCACAAACCCTCCACAGCATTTTCTGTTGTATGCTTCGCTGCATTTCCTGGCGTCGAGCAGAAGCAGGATTTTTTTGTTTGCTTTCTTTTTGGGCATACTGCGATTTTTCTTGGCACACTTCGTTCACCGCGACGATATGAATTAAGCAACGACACACGCACACAACAGCCCACCCACTGTTCACGCCAACGACGACATGGCGTCGCTACAAGCAAAGGTCGAGGCCGTCAAGGCTGCCGTCTCCTCGGCCTCGACGTGCACGCCAGCCACCGTGGTGACGCTCAAGGAGCTCCTGCTCCCAGACGCCGAGCCCGCTGCACCAAAGACGAAGACCGCCGCGCGAGCGACGACGACGAAGACGAAGTCGGCCGGAGCCACGAAGACAACACAAAACGCCGAGGCGCTTGGAGCTCGCGAGAGGACAGTGCTCGCTACGCATGTCATCAACGCGACTCTCAAAGTCCTGGCCGATGCCGCGAAACCCCCGCCGCCCTCGACGCCGTCCAAACGCGCAGAGCAGCTCAAGCAGGGCGCGAGAAGGCGATCGCTAAGGCGCTCGGCATCTGCGCCCATGACTCCTCTGCAGCCTCGGACTCTCAATCGCGTCGCTACCTCACCGATAGTGGCAACCAAGGACGCGAAGCCTGTGGCGCCGGCACAGTCCGCAGGATACCTTGCGACGGTCGAATGCGCCCGCGTGGCGTTCGCATGCCTGAGGTCCCTCAAGGGCCCGGCTCAGGACGGACAGACGGATTTCCAGCTCGAGAATGGCATGTCCGCGCTTGTCAGCAAGCTCCTCGCTTTAGGGATGCATGACCCGGCGTTGAAGGAGCTGAGGATATTGAAGCGCCGGCTGGATGGCACGGCTTCAACGGTCAACAACAAGTCGAAAGTCGCACCGGAGACGTCATTTCCAGCGGCGGTGATGGCCGAACTGCTACAGTTTCATGACGATGTCCCGAAACAGAGCCTCCCGACGACGACGGCATTTCAGATCTTGGTGCTCAAACTTGTCGCGGCTACCAAGAAGCCAGCGCATATCGAAGGCCTGACACCAGCGCTCCGAATATCGAACAAATCCTCGCCTATCAACTTGCTCTTGAATCTTGCCCAGGGCACCGATAAGGAAGCTCCCAAAGCAGCTCGACAACTGGCCGTCTTCTCGCAAATTCTGCTCTCCATCGCGCCCAGCGTCTCCAGCGCCGAGGATGCCGTGGCCGTCGAGCCCAGGCTGTCCCCGAGCCCGTCCCTTGCTTTTGAACTTCAAACCCTCGCCTTCCAGGCGCAGCTCAAGTGGTGGGCCTTGGCCGGGCACAAGGGAAACGTCGATGAGGAGGTCCTGCCCGCTTTTGCCCGCTGTATTCGGGCTTTTGTCCGCCGCCAACGATCGGACGAAGGCGCGCCGTATCCGACAATTGCCAAGGCATTCGATGCCATCTACAAGGCTATTCGGGAACAGAAACACGAGCCCTCGGCATCGTCCACCTCGCCTTTGGCATCCATTTACCAGATACTAGGCTCGACTGCGCACTCAGCTCGGGCCTACGATGACGCTGAGAAATGGCTTCAACAGCTGAAGGCATGCTTGTGTCCGCAGACCGACTCCGTTGTTCGCAGGTGCTCCGTCTCAGCTCGCATCTTGGCTGCTTCCCTGAAGAAGTCCATCCTGCGTCCTGACATTCACACTATGCTGCAAGAAGTCATCGAAGGCCTCGACGGGAGCCTCAGCGGAACTGTCACGGAACTTAACGAGCTTCTTGAAAGTCTCTCCGCCGCAAGACGCTCTGTGGCCGGCTTGCTCATGAATATTCTCGGCCCCAATTCATCAAGCAAGGCCATCCCGAACGAGCTTATTGAGCCACTGAAGACGTTCACCCTGCGATACCCCCGATTTGTTCGTCGATGGCTTGGAACGCCCCCCGCGAAAGATGCGACGGCGAAGCAGGTGCTGCAGTTCGACCAACGGCGACAGATTGTTACGGACTCCATCAGCCACGTGATGGACGGAGCGATGATGATTATCAAGTCTGATATTCCGTCCGGTTCCCTCGAATGGCAATTAATGGATGATGTCTTGCAACATTGCAACTCGCTCTTGGATAGCGTTTCAGACGCCACCTTGTCAATTGGAAAGTTAGAAAAACTTGGCATGTACTATGTCAAGATATCGAGCTTGTACTTCTCCAGGTTCATTGAACTGCGGAACCAAGCCAACCGATCCGAGGAGGCCAACAAGCAATTGCTTCAATCACTGAGCCGATCCATCGACGTCGTCAAGGAAAGAACCACCGCCGAGAAAGAAAAGGCCCAGCTTTCGACAAAGCTCGAGCTCTTTGCGGATCTGTGCAAGGGCGCCGGCAGAGCCGACGATGCGGTTCAGACTCTTCGCTCCATATGTACCGACATGGCTGAGGATGGTGTCCTGTCCGATGTGATAGCGGCATTGGCATCCAAACCTCCTGCTCTCGCGTGGGCAACGACAGACAAGGCCTCGTCGCTCTCTCGAACACTTCGCTCGATTGCAAAGCTGGACCGATCAGGTACTGACTGGACATTTTTCCTGCCCGAAGCTGAACGGGCTGCCGTTCTCGAGCATCTGATGCACCTCAACTGCAGTGAAACGACATCCCTTCAACCGCTGCGGCTTCACGATCCAAGCCCCGCTGCTCTGTTGCGGATTTATTCCCTGGAAAAGTATCCGATAAGGCGGTTTCGCGTGTTGCTTCACCTTTTCTATCAGAATATTGGCGAGCCCGACGAAGTCGACGAGATCTCCTCATTGCTTGACCAGGTTTCACAGCATGTGCAGGAGAGGGAACAGGCAGAGGACACGTCCTTGTCACACTACATCCCGCATCTGCAGACGTGTTACACCTTTATGGCTGCACTGGCTGACGCCGACACGCCCGCGTCGCTGTCCACACTCAAGGAATCGATCTCGGCTTGGAAGACGATGGTGCAGCCCTGCCAAACGAGCGACGAGCTCTACACAGTTATTGACGATCCTGCAACGTTACTGCATCAGCTGCACTCTTTGAATGACCTTGCCGGGCTCAGAGGGGAACAACACCTGCAGCTCTCAATTTCAGACTTTTCCATCATCCTTTCCAGGGCCATCGTGGACACAACCGGAGTGGTTCACGATGACTTGGTCCTCAGCCACAGCCAACTCGCGACTCAACATGTGAGCATTGGCAACTTCACCCAAGCACAGACGGCCCTCGAACAAACCAAGGCACTCATTGAACAGAACGAGAAAATCTCCGCAGGAGTCGTTGCAGACTTTTATCTATCTCAGGCCGAGTGCCTGATTGGCGTCGGAAGTCTTGATGAAGCGTAAGTACAAGGTTCCTGTCCCAGGCAAACGGAGCCTCACTGACCCTGATAGCATGCAATGCATCTCCAAGGCCAGTGACATCTGCAGCGACAGTCGGTCGACCTGGACGCAGTCCAAGTCTCACGCGACAGTCATGCTCGCCATGGTTTCTTTCCTACAGTCCACCATCTCGCTCCAGAAAGGGGACATTCCGGGCTCTCTCACTGCGATCAAATCCAGCGTACGAATGCTTTCACACGACTGGGCGAAGCTCGAATCGGCATTGTCAAGCGCCAACTCCACCGCCGACGCCAGCATGTCGGAGGTGAGCATGACGAGTATCGATATTAAGGGGCCTCCGGCACGGACGGCTGGTCCTAAATTCTGGGGTCTCGCTTCGCCGTTGCTGCGCAGTCTTCTACACATCTCGTCAGTGTATGCGCATATTGGCATGCTACAAGAAACCATATACTACGCCGAGTCGGCCTTGAAGATTGCAGAGGGCACGCAGTCGTCACTGTACAGAGCACAGGTCTCGTACTGGACTGGTTCTGTCTACGTCAAGGCCGGAAGGCTGGACAGGGCCCTGCCTATGTTCGAAGGGGCCGAGGACTTAATGCCGAGAGATGTCTGCGCATCCCGCGTACGGTTTGCTCGCCAGCTTGCTGAGTTCTATCGAAAGACGGGCGACAACGACAAGGCCAACCATTATCTCAAAATGGCCGAGGATACAATCCACCTGTTGAGTGGCTCCAGCGATACGACCAAACCAGCGACAGGCGAGGAAAAGGTAGTGCGTGCCGTCATCAAGTCCAAGAGCACTACGACCGCGACCGGACGAGTTGCTAGAACAACAAGAGCCAAACCAGCCGCTGCGCCGCGAACGGCAAGGAGAGTGCCTCCTGCTAAAAGTCGAGTCGCAGCGGCATCCGAGTCGCCCAGCCTTCCGCGAGACGTCTATCAGTCCTCCCTACTCGCAGCCATCATCCTCTCCCGAGCCATTGGCTTCATCTATCAGAGAGACTGGGCTTCTGCGTCTTCGCTGCTGGAGCAAGTCAAGACGCTGCCAAAGCTCTTCTCAGCCCTTTCGCAAGAACAGGTTATCACGGCAACATCTCTTATTGGACAGAGTATGGAGCAGATGATCTCGGACCCCGTCTTCTCGGTTGTGCAAGACTCTACCATATCATTTCCTGCGGTATGTGGCGGGTTGGACAAGGGGCCCATCGACAAGTCACCGATGGCGGGATCGCCACCTAGGAGAGGCCGTCCTACAGCTACCGACCGCAAGGGCTCCAAAGAGCGAAATGGTCCGGCATTTGCGGACGCCCTGCGGCAGGCACAGGAGCTGCTCATGGAGGCGCATGGGTCGGCGCTCTGTAGATCTGACAGCAGCATGGTTCATCGCATCTCAGCACTGCTACAGAACACAATCATCTTGTTGTCAGCTACTTCGACAAGTAAGGGTAGATCAACGGCTCCTTCTGGACTGGCTACTGTGGCTGTCGACTTGGCTCGCAACATCACCTGGACACGAGAGAGGGCCACCCTCAAGGTCTCGGCTGGCTCTACCGCTTCGGGACCCATCGCCAAGAGAGGCCGCAGATCTAGCCTTTCGACATCGATGGATGCGGCAGCTTTTCAGCAGAAGTACATCGAGATGATCCCCAAGGCTTGGAGCGTCATATCTCTATCCCTCAGCGAGAACCGTCACGACTTGTGTATCACGAAGTTTCAGGCCGGCTCGAGCCCGTTCATCCTAAGATTACCGTTGGAAAGAGCCAACTCTCGCGATGCCGATTCCGAGGTGTTCAACTTTGAGCACGGCCGCGAAGAACTTCTCGACATTATCAAGTTAGCCAACGAGACGAGCCACTCTGCCCGCGACTTCTCTGCCAAGGGCGAGCGTAGCGCCTGGTGGTCGGAGCGAGAGGCTCTTGATGACCGCCTCAAAGAATTGCTCGCGACCATCGAGACAACGTGGCTTGGAGGATTCAAGGGCATCTTCTCCCAGCACCGAAGACGACCCGAGCTTCTGGCGCGTTTTCAGAAGAGCTTCCACAAGATCCTTGATGGCAGCCTGCCATCGCGGAACAGGACTCGCGGCAAGAAGTCGGCCAAGGGCCAGACGGTCACACTTGACCCGCGGATCTTGGACCTGTTCATCGGCCTCGGAGATCCTACGGAGCCGGATCTGGACTACGACGAGGCGCTCAACGACCTGCTGTACTTTGTTGTGGACATTCTCCAGTTCCATGGTGAGCGCAACGCCTACGACGAAATCGACTTTGACGCCATGGTCGTTGAGACGTACGATGCTCTCCGAGGGTACTACGACGCAGCCAAGTCGGCCGACCGGGAGGATGGCACGCACACCGTACTCGTCCTGGACAAGGCACTGCATGCGTTTCCCTGGGAGTCGCTGCCCTGCATGCAAGGATCTGCGACATCGAGGGTCCCGTCGCTCGCGTGCCTCGGGCAGCTCATCGCGCAGGCGGACATGACCGCCGTGGACGACACCGGCGAGACGTTGGGGCACTCCGTCTCGGCAACGGCGGGAACCTACATCCTCAACCCGTCTTCCGACCTCAAGAACACGCAGGTCTTCTTCCAGCCCGCCTTCAAGACGCTGGCGTCGTGGAACAGCGTCGTCAGCCGGACGCCCGAGGAAACGGAGTTTGAGCAGGCGCTGGCCTCGTCGGAGGTGCTCCTCTACTTTGGCCACGGCAGCGGCGCGCAGTACATCCGCGGCAAGACGGTCAGGCGGCTGGAGCGGTGCAGGCCGGTGACGTTCCTCATGGGCTGCAGCTCCGCGGCGCTGACGGACGCGGGCGAGTTTGAGTGCTACGGACCGGTGTGGAACTACATGATGGCGGGATGCCCGGCCGTGGTCGGCACGCTGTGGGACGTGACAGACCGCGACATCGACCGCTTCGCGGGCCGTGCCTTTGAGGAATGGGGCTTGTTTGCGCGAGGCACGTTTGGCGAGGAGGACAGGAAGAAGGCTGCTGGTGCTGCTGGTGCTGCTACTGCTGCCGGCCGGGCCAAGGGCTGCAAGGGCAAGGGCAAGGGGAGGGGCAACGTGGCCGCCGACGACAGAGGCGACGGATCGGCGCGCGCCACGCCGTCGTCGCTGGCCGAGGCCGTGGCGAGGGCGCGCGAGGCGTGCAAGTTCAGGTACCTCAACGCGGCGGCGGTGGTCATGTACGGGATTCCCGCGTACATCCGGCCAGAGGAGGCGGATCAATGACGAAGACGACGATTACGGCTACAACTACGACGAGAAGGACGAGTTATGCAGGGGCCACGGGGTCCTGTCACTCCGGGAGCAGGACCAATGCAAGGCACGCCTGTAGCAACGCAGGGGTAGATTTGAATTTGTTCAGTAATTTTTTCCCCTTCCTGCCTCCCGCGGGTGGTTGGTTCTCTGTCAAGCAAACTCACAGTGCTCGTTTCCCCGTAAAGACTTGGCGATGGCGATCATCGCCGCTCACCGTGGGCCATGTCGACCGTTGCGGTGTTCCAGAGCGTGGTCCTCTGAAACCTGTCGATGATGATCTGTCGCTCTGACTGAACGAACGCCTCTGCCACCCCTGCGCGCGCCGCGGCCCGCCTTTGCCCCAACAACACGCCCAGGGGCCAGCTGTGTAATGGGCTTGCCTGCGCGACGGGACGATAGACTTGCTGAGGCGGCGGCGGCGGCGGCGGCGTCACCGCGCCCGTCGTCGTCACCAGCATACGTACGTACGTACGATCGTATCCCGTCGAGGGGCTGCCCTGTTGGTTCGCGTCTAAACGGGAGCCCCGGGGTATTTTCTCAGCGCGGAAGGGGCTCGCGTGTTCACACGACGCGACGGTGAGACTGAAACCAGGTGCGCACGAAGCACAAGAGCAAGCCGCATTCCGTACTCCGTACTCCGTAGAGCACCCAGCCCTACCTAGTTCGCACTTCGTGGCAGGCCCTGGACTGTTGTACGTTTCCTACTTCGCACGAAGTGTGGAGGCGACCCGAGGCGGCGGGACCTAATACAATGTGCCATGCGGAGCCGTCTGCAAGGCCAATGCTCAAGCGCTGCCGTTCTAGCCCCCGCCCCCTCGGGTTGTCGTTGCTGGCATCGTCGACGTCGTTCGGGGATGGGCTCGTATCATGAGCGTTCGTCGGACCTCCTGCGAGACGCCATGCTAATCTTAGACGTTGCTACTGCTGCTGCTGCTGCTGAGGCGGCGGCCGCGGCGACGGCGGCAACACAAACAACGCCACAAAGGGGCAAGCGCGCGTATGTATGTAGGTCGCTGGACGCTGCCATCTGTTGGCTCGCCGAGCAGCGCAAGCACACTCTCTCCTCATGTGTACAGTACAATACGCAGATGCGTCGGCGTCCGTTGAAAGCTCGCTCGCACACGCTCCAGCCCAGCCACGAGGCACGCGGTGACGGCCGGCGGGTGGACTGCAGGAATGTCTCAGCTCCCAGACTACCCGGACACGACGAGGAAAGGAAAGGGGCGTGTGCGTGCCTGGGGGGCGTGCGTGAGCACATATTCCCTGGCGCCGCCTCCTGCACGATGCCCTCTCCTCTTGCTGGTGCAAATGAGCTGGACGAATGGGTTCGTGCCCAAACGGCGGGTGGGCGCAAGCCATTGTCGGCCAACCCCCGAGGCGCCCGCTGCCAAAGGAGGGCGTAATTGGGTGCGGTGATGCTTCTTGGGGGGGGGTGGGCCAGGACGACGCCGACGAAAGGGGATGCCAGCCGGACCCCATTGGCAGGCCTTGACGCAGTCCTGGCCGAGCAGCAGACGCGGATGACCATGCAGAGGTCGAGATCTGTGTAGATCACTCCCCAAGGGTCCCCCCGGGGAAGACCCAGGCCAGCCGTGTCCGAGCTAGTAGATGAATGTAAGTTAGTTGGTGAGGTCGCGATCTGTCAGCTCGGTGAGCCTCGGTGGTGCTGATTTGATGCGTCCCGACATCCGCCCAACGCAGCATCTCGTCGCCTCTGTTCTCCTCTGCCCAACACATCCCAAGTCGGCACTGTAGGGCTGTGCGGTAATGCACGGCTTGGAGCTTGCTGACGCCGTCAGTTGTTGCGCAGAATACTGTATATCGATCAAGATCCCGACACCGTCTGTTGGCCGAGCGTCCGGCCTGGGCAACGACAGACAGAGCAACCGCTTCGCAAATACCTGCATGTCCCATCCGCGTGGTTCCGCCTGCTAGGGCTGGTCAAAGCGCCACCCTGACTGGTCTTGACATGCGCTTGTTTTGCCTCGCCTTGAAGGGGACTCCCGTGCATCCAGCCGTACCTTTTGCCCAAGCTGAGGTCTGGACGATTAACATTCCAGCAGCCGCGTAGACAACGACGGCCCCCAATGCTGATTCTCAGTGGAAACGGAGGCATATCCAGGTGTCAGTGGCTCCGCAGGAGGCAGAGAGGCATCTGGTGTGAACGAGGGGCAAATCGTTGCCATTGATGCTGCATGTTGGTTCTGCACCTGAGCCATATTTACCCACCATTTGCTGGAGTAGAGGGCGCCGTCGCCATGCTGTCGGAGAAACACGATACCATGGTAGACATGCAGACAGGTCGCATCAGTGTATGGGATGCGCAGCGCAGAGCCAAGTCAAGAGCGAAATTGGCAGCGAGCGCGCTTCGTATCGCATAGATTACGCCTCCGTAGCTCCTCATCGGCGACTGTAGGGACAATAAGGCGACGAACGGGCCACACCTCGGTATATGCCTGATTGCTATCATTTTCTGACACCAGTGACTTTCCTCGTATCATTTTCACAATTGGTTTCGCGCTCGAATTCGTACGATGCCTGGCGGATATCATGAGAAAAGAGAACGCCGCAATGCTATGCATTCAGCATGCTTGCGGAGCTTTGCGTCAAGCTCACTCCGCGCAAACTGGTCGTTGCCCTGTAGCAGATAAGCACGCAGTCTTCCAGTACCAATCGGCCATCAACGCCATTCTTTTAGGGAATTACGGACACAAATGTAGCGAGACAATCGAAGTTGGAGCGAGCTTAGGCCGTGCCGTGACCGGTCGCTATATCGTGTCTTGAGAGAGCCATGAGGTGCCTTTCTTCGCCTTGGCCTCGCACCGACGACAAGGTGCCTAGATCTGTTACCTAGGATGGAATGATTGCAACTCGGCAAAGCCTTTTTGGATGTGCTTGTACAGTTTATAGAGCACTTGATTCCCGAATTGTTTCAGTACGCAGGCGGCTGTCTACTTTGACGTGGTCGCTTGGTTGAATGAGCCAACCAATGCAAACGAGGGCAAACATGGTTCTCTCAGTCTCAACGATCCATGAGAAAACGCCTGTGCTGGCTGTAGCAGTCCAACTTGTACGTAAATCGTCTCGTCCAACATGCCAGGGCTGTTGGTCCGCTTCCGAGCTGTCGGGTTCGCTGGAAACGGCGCGTTTGCACATGCTGCTCCACATCACGATGGCCGTCACAGTGTTACGCCTCGTCGCAGAGCTCTTGACAGTATGCTGTGTCACTTCTGTCTTGGACACTCACATGCTTTGATGGCAGAGCCCTGGTAGGGAGCGGGGTGGCTGAAGCCGTCGACGGTGCCTGTCAGACCAGGCCACAACCTAAGCTGTATGAGCGTCTCCAAGACTTGAATTTTATTCAACCGTGGAGACGCCTACGTGCATGGTGCGCAAGGGATGCTCTGGCCTGACCAGGAGGCCTGCGAGCATGGTTCCTCTGTTTGAACGGCCACGTAGGCCGAGTTAATAGTCGGCGGAGCAAGGGAGCGACTCGTAAATTAGCCATGCTCCTCTTGAGCTCGCGGCGCTGGACAAATTTCGATGCTGCCTGGATATGCATAGCCATGTTAGATAGCCCGCCAGGCGGGTAACGCACCGACATTGAGAGGGGCGGTGGAAATTCCAGCCTCACGTCATATCGAGACTTGTGAGAGTTTGGTGACACCCTGCGTGAAGCCTTCTCTGAGGTTGCTTTGTCCCTTGCAGGCCCATCGTTGCTGCATCCGTGACTCCTAAATCACCCAAACACGGACGCGACAGGTACCGCTGGTGAAAGAGAAGGAAACCCGCCCACCCGAGTCGAGGCACTGGAGAGTTGCACCACCCGAATAGGCAAGACTGTGAAATCCAATGATCGCACGCCCGCAACGCTGGTTGACCTGAGTTGGACATTCCAGCGCCACGGTAGTGTCGAAGCGCATTTGGAAGGGTGAGCAATAAGCCCCAGCCAAGCCATGAGTTGGTTTGGATGGGCAGAACTCTGATTGATTGTCCCATTGGCAGTGCCGCAGTCTGGTGAACCGTCAGTCCAGTGGCGATGCGATGGAGATGCACCGACCAGGCGTCCGTGGTCGCCCTTGCAGTCGGTCTGGTCTCTCGTGTTGTTGACAGCCCATCCGCGATTGACATGCATGCATACCCTGCTGATCCTCCCGCCCAGTCGCATCACAGATGCATTGCGGCGCCTCCAAGGAGTGCTTGCAATGATGGCGGGTGACTGGCCTGGTCAAGAACTGGTCTGACGCCTGCTGGTCCTAATAGTGGGTGCTTGCTGCTTTATGCAGACTAGAATAAGTACGTCGAAGATGCATCCGTTCGGCAACTGACGTGATCGAATCATTCCCAGAGCTTACCGGCTGGCAGTGATACATTCCCGGGACGCGAGTCATGATCGTTGCAAGCTTAACATGCTGGCTGGCAGGGAGCGTCGATGGACACTTGGGCAGGCAGTCTTACCCCTTCGTTCCGCTCGCCACGGGACTCTCGCTACTGTGCTGTACAGTATTCCAACACAAGTGTCGCAATGCCTCTTGAACGAGCTTTGACGGTATTTAGTGGTGGGACCGGCGTTAAATCCCGACCGCACCGCAAATTCCAGCCACGTTTTGAGGTTTGCCAGCTCTGGAAGTCCTGCCAGGTGTTGACAAATTGGCAGCGGCGCCAGATGGCGGCCAAGGGCCGCCTTGGCCAAATGCTTGTGGTGGTGTGGCGGCGTGACAGGGATTCGTGCATGCAGTGGGGAGCAGAAGCCGCTTGCGAGGTGCATTAACGGTCTTGTGGCCGACAATCTCATGTCCAGGGTCAGTGTCTGGTACGGTCGAGAACCACCGATCCAACTTGAGACCAAGCGTGCCAAGAACGCATCTGGGTTTGGTTTGCCTGTAAAATGTATCGACGAGCTGGGACGTGCTTTCTCGAAGCACAGTCAGCCATAGCAGCCACAGAAACCGGGCGCCTTGTACGAGGTA